AGGTCTGTATGAGATACTAGGGGAAGATGTGGGTGGGTAAGGCAAGTTAAATACACATTATTTGCAAAATGGGGAAAGCTGCTTGCTTAAAAATTAGTGATAAATTCGCTAGGCTTATCTTTTGAAAGGAAATTACAAAACAGAGAGGAGAAAATATTTGGAAGTGAGAACTATTTTGGTAAAGGCTTCTTTTTCTCTTTCCCTCCTGCTCCTCAGGCTAAAGATAATATATGCAAGATACATGCAAGATATGTTTTGCTCAAAGAACCAGAGATAACAAGCTTGAGGAGAAAAGAAATCCTTTTTTGAGGATTTGATGACGAGTGGTGGATTTTCTGTGCTGTGCTGTCTGCATGCATAATCATCTTCCACCTATGTTCATCTTGAATATTTTAAAACTCATGATAAAATGTCCCCAGTCTCCAGTGAGCCATCCATCCAAAGGTAACCAAACTTAGGCAGACAATATATTTGGTAACTTTTATTTTTGGAAAAATTAAGGCGCCCTTTGTAGTATAATACATGGCACACTAACCTTGAAAAATGCTGGCCTGTTCTCCAGCTTTGGAAAGCTAATATCAGCAGCCGACCAGATACCCAAGATCAAATTAATGAATTGGAAATTCCTCTGCTAAAATAGCAGATAGAAAGCTGCTCCCTAGATATATATAAAATGCTTTCCTTTCACATTTTAGAATTAAGTCACTCAGTGTTAAGACTTCCCTGAATCCAAGAATAAGGGGGGAAAAGACCTTTGAGCTTTCCTAGAATAACTTTTCTTAACCACTGAACAACCCTCTCACTTTTCCTTTTTATCTTTTCCTAGAGAGACAGGTAGTTGGGAAGCTAGTTGGGAAGTTGCAATTTCTGGCTATACCCTGCTTTCATCCTCTTAAGATGAGGACAAGGTTATTGCCTATCATGAAACTGAGGCATAAAGCTCACGAAAGACTCTCTGGCTTTATTGAAAGAAATGAGGAACAGAATGAGAAATCTCAGTTAGTTCTTCCAGGGCCTAAAGAAACTCCTTCCTAACCACCAAGAATGGCAGGAGACTGTGCTGTTTCAGCAATCATTTCAAAATCTCCAAAAACAATAAAAGGAAATTCAGAAGCTGGAAGTTGCTACTGTATCTCTAGGGTCTTTGATTTTCTGGAGGCACAGAAAATCAGAAAAAAAAACCATCCGGAGTCCGGACTAACACAGACAGCTAGGGCAAGCTACTCTATATAATTAATGTGTCTTCTTTTGACCATGTTAAAACACACAGTAGCTTAAGTGCAGTATGTGAACAGGGACAGTGTTCTCTGAAATGCCTTAATCTTTGTATCGCTCATGGCTCAGGAGACTTATGAGATGATGATGATTTCAAACGTAAGCATTTTGCATCAACTGAATGGAATTGCTGAGCTACATGCTAAGTGATTTGCCCAAGCTTTATCCTTTATATAACCAGAACTTCATTTTGCACAGTGGGCAAACAGATTACTCAGCATGCTGTAGCTCAGTTACCCTCCTTTAATCCCTTATGTGCTAATACTCTCTGCGTGCTTGTTTGTCTCTGGACTTCTTTTGCTTCCCTCCTCTCCTCCCACTCCACATTCTCATCCTATGATATTCTGACCTGCTTCCAATTTCTGGAATCCTTTAAAGGGTAGATTTATAGCTATTTCCCAAGGCCCAGGTAAATCATGATCGATTACAGATATTTTTGCCTGGACTTACACAACAAATGAAGCAGAAAATCATGGCTTTTAGTGGCGAGTTAGGGACAGCTGGCCACTTTATTGTAAAATACCAAAGTACCCTTTTGAATTAGTCCAAAGGCTTTCCTAGTTCTGCCTCCTCTTTCTCATCTGGCCAATCATAAGCAGAGGGGAAATGGTTGTGAGGCCCCCAAAGAAACTGAAAAATTATCCCCACTCAGAGAGTCCTGATTTTCTTTTAAAAAAATCTTCCTGTTGGAAATAAAATCCAGTCTGATTCCAAGCCGGGAGAAAGACACTGGAAATGAAATGGAGTCCGGCTGCAGGAAAGAAAGTCTCTGTTTATTTGGTTTTCCAGAAACTTCAGTGACAGCAGCATGTTTCTGGGGTGGCTGATAAAATGGGGTTAAGAATAGTGGGCTTTTATACATTCTTTGGGGCTTTGTGATAGAGATGCCTGTGATGTGATAGAGATGCTTGTGAAATGTACTCTGACCTGTGCTTGAGTGTGCCCTTTTAGTATTCTAATTATTGCTGCCTGATGGCCATTGTGGGCTGGAAGCCATGCCCTGTCCTTGGAGCTGGGTGGGGGAATGTAGATTTTAGGAGCCTAAAATTTTTCTACTTTTTAATCCCATCAGCTCCAGCCTTCTGTGGGAACTGTGGCTGAATATTCATTTGTTTATGAATAAGGTGGCCTGGTTTTCTTAATGGGTACAAAATATCCATCTCTAAAGACTTCAGGCTTCTGCTTGAGGCTGTTTTCCTGTAGCAGGAAAACTGGCTTTCTGCCTTTAAGAACATGTTTCTCCTCTTCTCTTTTAGGGAAAATATAATATTCTGCTTTTTTTAAATAGTCCCCAAAATATTTCATTGTCTAGGAGAGGGGGCTTCCTACATCCAAGTGATGAAATCAAAATTTTTTTTACTACCGGTTCTGTGGGCGTGGCTTGGTGGGCATGGCCTGGTGGGCGTGGCAGGGGAAGAATACTGCAAAATCCCATTCCCTCCCCACTCCTGGGGGAAGGATATTGCAAAATCTCCATTCCCACCCCACTCTGGGACCAGCCAGAGGTGGTATTTGCCGGTTCTCTGAAGTGCTAAAATTTCCGCTACTGGTTCTCCAGAATCTGTCAGAACCTGATGGATTTCATCCCTGCTACATCCCTATCAATCATGTTTATTATGATGGCAGAACTAGTAAAAATGGAAAGTAGTTTTATCATTCTCTAAGACTCATAGGAAGGTGAGGCTAGATTCACTGGCTAAACTCAGAACATCAGTGATAGAACATTTTCTCTGATGGTGCAAAACAAGATTCCAATTTCTACTCCATCCCTGAAGAGAGTGGCTTCCAACTCTCCTGGATATTCTATAAAACCTAGGAGAATGAGACGAAGCAGGGAAGAAAAATAGTATCCTCTCTGAAGTGAGCCCTGACCTTGAACTGAAACTCAAGAACATACTGCATTCAAAGAGGTAGTAAATAAATAATTTTGCTACAGTGTATTGATTTCATTTAGAAGTCTATATCTTTGACAGTTGCCTTCCTTTTGTTTCTGTTTTCCCAATAACCAAGAAAAAATTGGTTTCACTGGTCTAATCAGGAAATTTTTGATTATAACCCATGTGCAAAACTGCACAGTTCCATAGCTGAAACTACATCTTGTGATTTAGAAGAGGCACAAGGTTTTTTAATGTTCTGTATCTGGGCCTTTCATCAGTTGTTATTTCTTTTTCATTCACTATGTTGTTTTGTTGTTTTCTGGTTTTAGTTTCCAATTCACCACCCAGAGTCACAACAGTAGGGTGGGCAATTTATTTAAAAATGATTTAAATAAATACATTTTAAGTATATTTCAATAAAAATGGGGATATTGGACAACAAGATATAGTTTAAAAGCCAATAGAAGAAAGAGAGTGAAATGTGCTGTTGTGTTGTGTTCAGTTGCAAATACAAAGTATCTGGTCAAGAGAGATTTACTGCATGGACATTCTCCAAATTTTGATCTGTTTCCTGATAAGGTGCCTGATTCTAATCCTTCCTCTCTGCTGCAATTTGTTTTCATTGTGTTGTGGATTAATTAGACCAACGCAACTTTTCTGGGTTAATCAGAGACAATGTATATTGCGCAATAGGTTCAAAGCTCGTTTGTACATGAAGCATTGAACAAAGACAGAAATTAGCTACAATGGTTTTTATACCCTTCTAAGACAAAGGATTCTGTTAACTCAGCAGTTTATGTGATCATATACATTTGTTATATTTAATTGACATTTCCTAATTATTAAGTTTCATATTATTCTTTGCCAACAGTCATAATTCTTCTTGTAAATTACTGAAGCATAGATTCAAATTATCTCTTGTTGATATTACATGTGGTCATACTTGATCTGTTTAACCTTCAAACTGTATATCATCAAAAGGTCTCTATCTCTGACAACCGAGGGGCCCCTCTTCTGAATGTTCCTACTTCAAAGGAATTCTCTGCCTTTCATCTGGTTAATTGGCTTCCCTTAAACAAGCACATTTCCTTTCTTACAATACTATGAATAGAGGGCCCTTCAATGATCATCCAGCTGGACCCGCATTTACCTACATTAATTGTAGAATTTTTTCTTAGCCATCACCCTAAAAATCTTAGCATTCTTTATCAATTAGAATTTATCTCCTGACCTGAAAATTAAAGCAATTGCTTCTTACAATGTGTACAATTTCTTTAGAGTTGGCATATAGCACAGGAATATATATTAAAGCTTGGTTATCATTAAAAGTCACCCTAAATTATAAATAACATAAAATCTTAAGACTTGCTTTAACTGTCTTTTATTTAGAGTTTTTCTTGAGGTAAACTATCACTGGGCTGGTCCAATAATGACCAAAAAAATAGATGAGAAATCCTCTGTAACATTAATCCAATTTGATTGTATTTGTCTTGTTAAATGGAATTATCATGCATCTAACATCCTAAAATGGTTATGCGTATTTGAAAAGGGAATGCATTTTCAAATAAAATCTCTAAAGGGCCATGATGTTCATATTTATGCCTTCTGGATTTTCTGTCTCAAAGTACAGACACCTGTATCTGGCAGAATGAAAATATGTGGTCATTAAGCATATCAGAAATATCACCTAATTTTAAGTATACACTATGGAATAAAATTAAGTATACACTATGGAATAAAAATACAAAATATGCTCCCTTCCAGTGATTTCCATCATAGAACACAACTTCAGAATTGATTTTCTGATCTTCTGATTCTCCCCTCCCACTTTTTTCCCTTTTTACCCAGATCCTCAATGCAGTGGTTCTGCTGATTATATTGAGCGCCTTGACAGATCCTGGCCAGTATCACTTAGCGGGTACTGAATTAAGCAATGACTTTGAATTTATGGATGATGCCAGTAAGTATATATCATTTCATTAGTAATTTACAATCTGGCTCCTGTTAAACTGACCTGATATTGTGCCAGGGCAGCACTTTCACAGCTGGCATAAAATTGCTGTGTGTATATATATGGGGGCTGAACCTTCTCTGAAAATTCTTGAGACAATACTATTAAAGATGATATTTATAAAGAAGACTTTAATTGAAAGTGATTCATTAAAACAGGCTGTCTTGCCCACTGAGATTCAGCTTGGAAAAAGTCCCGGCTCCAAAAATAAGATCAGTAGATGACAGCAAAGAAATAGAGAAAAATCTAACACTTGGCTGACATCTAATGGTGTCCTGCAGTTTTGCAGCACCAATGAAGATAGGTATTATTTATTTATTTAGCATATGGCTGTGATGGCGAATCTATGGCATGTGTGCCACAGGTGGCACGCGGAGCCATATTTGTGGGCACATGAGTGTTGCCCTAGCTCAGCTCCAGCGTGTATGCGGACATCGACCAGCTGATTTTGGGGCCTTCTGGGCCCACCGGAAGTCAGAAAACGGGCCATTTCTGGCCTCTGGAGGGCCTCCGGGGGGTGGCCATTTTTGCCCTCCCCAGGCTCCAAGAAAGCCTCTGGAGCCTGGGGAGAGTGAAAAACAAGCCTTCTGGGCCCACCAGAAGTCAGGAAATGGGCCATTTCCAGCCTCCAAAGGGCCTCTGGGGGGCTGGGAAGGCTGTTTTTGCCCTCCCCAGGCTCCAAAAAGCCTCTAGAGCCTGGGGAGGGTGAAAAATGGGTCTATCCAGCCCACTGGTAAGCTTTTTGCCGTCGCATGCCAAAAGTGGGGGGAGTGCAGCGGGGGGCATTCGTGCATGCGCAGGGGGGGGCGTAGGGGTCATTGAATTATGGATGTAGGCATGCACGCGCATAACCCCTCGCACTCCCCCCACTTTTGGCATGTGATGGCAAAAAGGTTAGCCATCACTGGTATATGGCATGCAGTGTCAGGGAAATGTACAAATGCTAGGCATAAGGCAGTCCTGACAGCCAGAATTGCTAATTTTTTTCTGTTTGGCATTTGCATGCCTATCCATGGTGCAAACTCAACTTACACCAGCTGACTAGTGGCACTCAGGTTGCTAGCTCTTTTGGGCTCCTCTGCCAGTCTTACCTCACCTCGCATTTTGTCACCTTGTGTCTGGCCAGATCCAGCATCATCTTCTGCTCTCCACACACACACAAACACAGCTAGTTTTTTCTCACTGAAGTGGTACCCGTTTTTCTATTTGCAATATTGCATGCTTTCCAACTGTTGGATGGGCAGGAGCCAGGGATCTAGCAACAGGAGCTCACTCCATCTTATGGTGTGCAAGGCTCGAACCATCTGAGTGCAGACCATTTCTGTTCTGCAGTTTCAGCGTCATTAAGCCACTGCGCCACAGTGTCCCCACATAAAGATAGGTAATGGGCTGTGTTGTTGGAAGTCACTGTTTTTTGTTTCTTTTTTATTCCCCCCCTCTTCCTTCACTTTATTCCAACTTCTAACTCAATTATTCTATATTCTATGTTCTATTCCCTTTATTCTCTTTCCTTCCCCATTTTTCCACTATCTTTATTTCTATTTGTATTTTATACAGTATTAAGAAAATAAACTTTTTATATATAAAAGAGCATAAATTAGTGATGATGATGATGATGATGATGATGATGATGATGATGATGATGCAGCTTCAGTATGCAGAAAGTGCAGAAGATGATTCTGACCCATAAATGCAGACAAGGATATAAATTCGGTGGAGCTAAGAATATAGAGTTAAGCGGGTGGGGTTTAGCTCAGGCATGTTTTTCTCAGGCCAAAGAGCTGTGTGGTCCAAAATTACTATCTTCTGCAAACATTAGTCTGAAAATATTTGGACATATCACCGCAAGTCATGTCCTCCAGCAGAGGATGCTCCTGCACCAGAAAAGTACTTTATGGACCAAAGGAGAAGAAACTAGGCCGGAAATACCTTCTAATGCCAAGGAAAATCCAGTTTTGTCTCAGGCCAGTTCATGTTTCGTAAACAAGGAGAGGCTTGTTTAGGAGGAAAAAAGCAATCTTGATTTCTGTGGCCTCTGGTACCATTGTGTATTGTTAAAAACATGGAATGCTATTAAGAGATCAGTTTCGGTTGAATCTCTGAATATTTTCCTTGGGGACCAATAATAATGAACACATTTTATTTAATAAAATGAAAATGCTGGCTTTCCACAGGGCTGTGACCGATTCATTATTTATTTCAGATATGTGTATTGCAACTGCAGTCTCTCTCCTCATGATTCTCATTTGTGCGATGGCCACCTACGGTGCCTATAAGGTGAGGCATAATGTATGGCGTTGTATTGTTTTAATTAACTTACTTTGAAACTGGTCCATACCTCGTGAGACTTGGGGCAGCAGATCACAAAGCAGAAAAAAAGCACAAAGAAAGCTAGACATTCATAAAGAAGGATTATCTACAGTCAGTTAGGCCCAAAACATAATGGAATAAAGGTGTACTTTGCAGAATATAAGGAGGAAAGATATTACGCGTTGTCTAGGAGATGCATACACCAGAGCATGAGGCTGCATTTAGAAATATATAAAGAAGTTAGCCTAGATAGGGGTGTCAAACTCGATTTCATTGAGGGCCGCATCAGGGTTGTATTTGACCTTGGGGGGGGGCTGGGGGGGCATGGTCAGGATGGGTATGGCCAATTCATCCAAGTGCTAAGGCAGGACTTCCCTCAGAACCTTCCTCGCTCTCATTATAATCTCTTTCCTTCCTTCCTTCCTTCCTTCTCTTCTTTTTCTTTCCCTCTTCCTTCTCCTTTTTTCCCCTTCCCCTCTTTTCTTACTTTTCCTTCCTTGCTCTTTTCCCATCTTTCCTTCTTTTTCTTTGCCCTTCCACTTTGCCTTTCTCCTTTTTTTTTTTTTAATTTGATTTATATGCCGCCCCTCTCCGAAGACTCAGGGCGGCTTACAATGTGCTCAGCAATAGCCTTCATCCTTTTGTATATTTATACAAAGTCAGCTTATTGCCCCCACAACTGGGTCCTCAATTTACCTACCTTAGAAAGGATGGAAGGCTGAGTCAACCTTGAGCCTTGGCGAGATTCGAACCCTGCAGTAATTGCAGGCAGCTGGTCTTTAATAACCAGCTTAATAACAGGGTGCCTTAAACCCCTGTACTACCAAGGCTCTTTCCTATCCCTTCTTGCATGCTGAAATGCAAAGGGGGAAACATTTCTCCTTTTGTTTTGTTTTTAGTTTGTTTTGCTAGCCCTCTGCCAGCGAAAATGGAGCCTGGGGGATGCGGCCCTCCCAAGCTCCATTTACACTGGCAGAGACACTGCAGGGCGGTCCTTTACTGTTTCCAGGGCTGCTCCGTGGGTCAGATCTAAGCACTCGGTGGGCCAGATTCAGCCTGCGGGCCTTCAGTTTGACACCCCTGGCCTAGATTAATTATAGGGGAGAATGGATTCCCCAAACTAGTGCCCTCCAGTTAAGTTTGATTACCACTTCTGTAGCCATGATAGCTGGAATTCTGAGAATTATAACCCAAGATAAAGAGCATCTGGTTGGGAAAGGCTTCCTAGAATAACAATTATAAGCATTGTGAACTTTTCTGAGGACCAGGAAATTGCTTTGAAAAACTTTTCAGGAAAATGTCCTAAAGGTGCTTTTTCAAAAGGCAACTTGGCTTTGTTGTTTTTTCCTTGAAGACATTTCGCTTCTCATCCAAGAAGTTCCTTCAGTTCTGACTGAATGGTAGTGAATGGAAGGATTTATATTCCTTGCAGTCATCTGGTCGTTAGCACTCTCTCCAAGAACCGTTAAGGCTCGGAGGTTTATTTGTGCCTTCAGGGTCATTTGAATAATGTGAAAGGGTATGGAACCTTTCAACTGTTGAAAGGACTGTGCTGTAAACAGGAAATTGGTCATGTTGTATCCCTCCCTCTCTATTAAGAGAGGCCTGTTCAATTTTAATGTAGGTGGTCTCTTTGACCCCTCTTTCAAACCAGCAGTCCTGTCTGTCCAGAATGTGGACTTTGCTGTCTTCAAAACAGTGGCCTTTGTCTTTCAAATGTAGATAGACTGCTGAATCTTGTTTTGATAAGTTTGTTTTCCTATGTTGTGCCATGCGTTTGTGAAGTGGTTGTTTTGTTTCTCCAAAGTAGAGATCTGCACATATCTCAGTGCATTGTACTGCATATATCACATTGCTGTGTTTGTATCTGGGTGTTTTGTCCTTAGAGTAGACAAGCTCCTGCCTTAGTATTCTTGGGTTTAAAGTGTGCATGCATGTAGTGTGGTTGAAAATCCTCCCATTCTCCACCATTCAGTCAGAACTGAAGAAGCTTCTTGGATGAGAAGTGAAATGTCTTCAAGGAAAAAAAAGAAAGTCTAGTTACTTGTTGAAAAAACACTTTTGGGACAACAATCACCTGGATTATTGAGAATCTCCATAGACTTTTCACAAAAACTTGATTTTAAGGATAACCATTTATATATATCAAGTAGTGAATGCATATAAATTATTCATAAGGTTTATCTGCTTTACTATAGCACTTAACACTGTGCCCTTATGAGTAGTAATATTTTCACTCATAATTATGTTCTGTAAAGAATATTAATAAAGAGATGTATATTTAATGTATTTGTTCTGAAGAGAAAGAATATATGAAGTAGTTCAAGATTAATTTATATTTTATGACTAACTTAAACTTAATTAAATATATATGTTGGTTTGGATAAAACATGCTGGTCCTTGAATGAAAAGCCTTTTTTTAATTCCTGCCTATTGATTTGATTGAAAGCTCTCCAATGTTTTATAATGTAACTCTTTTTATGTATGGACCCCTTCGACCTGTTCAGAAAAATGATTAAAAATTCATTAAAATTCTATAAGTAATTACAATATTCTCTCCTCTCTTTTTATTTTTTATATCTAGCAACATGCGGCCTGGATCATCCCTTTCTTCTGTTACCAAATCTTTGATTTTGCACTCAACACTTTAGTTGCTATCAGCATACTGGTTTATCCAAACACAGTTCGGGATTATCTTCAGCAACTGGTAAAAGACTTTCTTATTCAATATTCAAACTGTTTATGTCAATGATTGTTGTAGACTTCATTGATGAAGAAGATGTTGTAGACGATGAGAATAAGATTGACCTGGCCACACATCTCAGACTAAACATAAGATTATAAGAATATTAGTAGCCCCATGAATTCCTGTTCTCTGTCAGATGTCTCTAGAATCTATTGTTGGAAGAAATGTCCATCTGGGTTCAGTTCCAAGTGGGAAGAAAGACACTGGAAACTTGGAGACTGCTTGGAAAGATGGTTTAATAGTGGATTGGTTGCTGTCAGAGGTCATAGCTAGCTTTGTAGGTTGTCTGTATGCTATGTTTGGTTGAATCTCGCTGGGTGAAGCAATGAAGGGCAATTAAATGACTCTGCCTGAAGGAGGGAGATCTTTGTTATGTAGAATAGACTGGCCCAGGCCTTAATGGCCAATTAACAAAGGGGGGGCTGAGTTTCTGCCTCCTTTTTAGGGGAAATATTCTGCCTTTTAATATTTCCTAAAATATTCCATTCTTCTAGGAGAGGGGTGGGTGCTAATGTCCTACACTACACTAGAACCGTAAAAAAATTATAGAGCGCAAAGGCAGCATTTGTTTCTTCCTATAATTGGAGAGCAAACTTTGGGGGGGGGGGGGGATTTGGCTGAAATTGGCACTAATGTAGGGGGAGGGGGCTTTAAGGATACAGCAAATGCAGATCAGCATTAGAAGTGACAAGAGTATCAAAAACATTGGCATCTGTATCTCTAATCCCTCCTTTTGCTGTTATAGTAATTGCCAACCTATTTCGCATATGTGAAAATGTCTGGATCAGAATGTCAAGAATGCTAAACCAGCTTCCACTGCTCCGGGAAATAATAGGAGGAACATTATGCCAAAAGAAAATATGCAGTGCCAAAGTGCTATTTAATCCCGTACAAAGGAATAATTTCCCCCCTTTATATTTAAGACCCATCTTTTCCCTGGAATGGGAAATGTCCTAAATTATATCCTGTGAGGTGGGGTGTGTGGGGGGCAGCAGGATTAATGGGAAGGGAAAGAACTGTCAAAAATACAATGTTGGACTGGAAAATGTTTCCCACTCAGAGGGGCACAGAATTTATTCCAGATAGTTTTAATATTTCAATGCTTTCATCTTTCAATTTCTCTTTGCTTCAAGATTTCTTCTTAGGGCAATTTTTTCGTTTTTAAGGAGGGAATAGCTCTAACTCTATAAGCAGCCTGGAAGTATTTAGCGGTATGCTAATCTTAGATTCCAGTCTTTTCCTTCTATCGGAAGCAAACAGGCAACCAGTTCAATTTGGAGAGTAGAGGTATAATGTGCATTTTCCTTCATAGGCACAATCCATCACACTTCACCTCCCTTCTCCAGTGTTGATACAGTTGGTGGTGATTGGGGGAGAGAGATCCCATTCTCAGCTCCAAACAAACGCAGTGTGCAGTTTGGGGCTCCTTCTAGATTCGTGGCTCCTGCTCTAAGAGCAAGTGGCAGTTGTGACTGGGAGGATTTTTGCACAGCTTTCATGTCAATTGCACCCATTCCTAGATTGGAAGGCTCTGCTCACAATCATTTGTACCCTAATCACCTCCTGATTGGATTACTATAATGTACGCTATATGGGGATTGTTGTGGAAAAGTATTTGAAAGCTTCAGCCAGTGCAAAATGCAGAGATCATAGAATCCTAGGGCTAAAAGGGACTTCTAGTCTAACCCACTGTTCAAGGCAGGAGACCTTATACCCTCCCAGTCAAATAGCTGTCCAGTCTATTTTTGCACCCACAATTCCAGGAGGCAAATTATTCCAGAATAACAGAGTTGGAAGGGACTTTGATGTCTTCTAGTCCAACCCCCTGCTCAAGCAGGAGACCCTATACCCGTGATGGCGAACCTATGGCACGCATGCCACCTGTGGTGGCACATATTGGTGGGCACGTGAGCTCAGCTGTGGCGCACATGTGCGCACCGGCCAGCTGATTTTTGGGCCTTCTGGGCCCACCGGAAGTAGGGAAACAGGCTGTTTCCCACCTCCAAAAGGGCCTTGGGTGGTGGGAGGCCCGTTTTTCTCTCTCCCCAGGCTCCAGAGGTGGGACCTAGAAAGGCTCTGGAGCCTGGGGAGAGCAAAAAATGGGTCTTCTGGTCCCACCGGAAGTTGGCAAACAGACTGTTTCCAGCCTCCGGGGGTGGGTGAGGAAGGCTGTTTTCATCCTCCCCAATCTTCTAGAGAGCCTCTGGAGCCTGGGGAGAGAGAAAAACGGGCCTACCACACCCACCGTGCCATCGCGTGCCAAGAGCAAGGGGAGCATGGGGGGCGGTCATGCGTGGGAGCGTGGCGTATAGAATAATGGGTGTGCGTACGCACACGTGTGCGACCCCCCCCGCACTCCCCCCGCTTTTGGCCCGCGATGGTTAGCCATCACTGCCCTATACTATTTCAGACAAATGGTTGTCCAGTCTCTTCTTAAAAACTTCCAGTGATGACATGTCCACTTCCTCAGCTCAACAAATTCAAACCGTTCCCAGATAACCAGACAAGACCCCCCACCCATAGCCATCTCCCCTGGACCTGCAGCAAGCCCTGTATCCCAGGACGAGCAAATTTTAGTGACTTTGTCCAACAGATGCTGAACATTGTTTGAATTGGACAAAGCTTTGTATGAGAAGAGAGACCAAACTACCATCCTGCTAAAATAGGCATGTATTCCCAACAAAGTGAAGAGTGATGAAAATATTAGTTTGGCACTCGAGTAGTTTCTCTTTAAATAGAGAAGTGAAAACATGATTGTACAATGTTTATCTTCAATCTGTTATACTTCATCTGGTGGGATTAAACAGTTGGTGCACTTCAGTGAAATTCCAAATGAGGAAAATGTCTTGCTAGCACTTGGCAAAAGAGAAAGGCATGCGGAAATATTTGTGTTTAAATGAATCTGGCAGAAAACATCAAATAATTTATTGCAGTAATCTTTGGAAATGAAAAAGAACTCCTTTTCTCCCTCTAGAATTCTGTAATTTAAAATGCCAATATAAAAGATCACCGTTGAGTGCATTGTGAAGTTCCAAAAACAGATACATTCAATGAAGAGTTGCAGTTGCTTCTTTGAGCCATGGTGGCGCAGTGGTTGGAATGCAGTACTGCAGGCTACTTCTGCTGACTGCTGGCTACCTGCAATTTGGCAGTTCGAATCTCATCAGGCTCAAGATTGACTCAGCCTCCCATTCTTCCGAAGCTGATAAAATGAGGACACAGATTGTTGGGGGCAATATGCTAACTCTGTAAATTGCTTAGCGAGGGTTGTAAAGCACCGTGATACATTACATAAGTCTAAGTGCTATTGCTATTGTGGTAGAGACCATTGTGTCCAGGTCTGGCCATCACATGAAGATTCAGATGGGGTGATTAATAGTTTTTAAGATGTCACACAGGTAGTTCTCTGTTTATGACTGTGAAGGAAACTGTCCATTATGGTCATAATAGTAATGGTTGTAAAATGGTTTGTCCGTGTGACTAAACCAATTCTATGAGTTTTTTTGTGGCAGTTAAGCAAGTGTGGCCATTGTGTACGCAAACACCACAGTTGTTAAGTAAGCGCAGCGGTTTGGCCAAAAAAAATGGAAGCACCAATTTTCATCAAAACCAAATGGGGTCACATGACTGGAGAACACTGAAAACGGCCATAAATGCAGCCACGTTGCTGAATACCTAAAGTGCAGTCACATGACCACAGGGGTTTTCAATCCTTGGAACCTCATATCTGGGTCATCAGCCCCCTTTTGGAGGTAGCTCATAACTTTGAATGTTACAGTTGTAAGTTGAGGGCAACCTGAAGACAAGAGCACCGTCTTCATAATGGGTAATCTTATATCAGAGGCAGGATGCAAAAAAGGGTTTTAAGTTAAAATTGGCTTGGAATGAACATTAGGAACAATAAGAGCACTTTGATAGTAAGACCAATGACACGATGAAGTGAAGGCATGTTCAAGAATGTGTCAGAAATCTTTAACTTAAATTGTTTCATAGGGGAAGTGATGGGACTTCACTTAATACTCTTAATAGCCTTTTCCAATTGTGTGATGGAGATGAAGAGGAAGATTATATATGATTTTTACACTTTTATTGTACAACTTGTAGAAAGAATTGGGAGTAGGATAGATGGTTCTCTCTGCTTCTTTATTTTATTCTCAAAACCATCTTTGGGACATATTAGGTTTTAAGAAAGGGACAATCGCAGCATGGTCTTAGCTGGGTGGAGAGGTGAATTCCTGCTCAATATCCTAATTGCTGAATTCTAGCCACAGCTTAGTGACTAAATCACAGCTGCCTACATTTACGCAATAGATTAAGTCAAAACCAAACAAATTACAATATAGGGTAATTTATACAATGTGTGAATCCAATCTATGACTCATACTTAATTCAACACATGGAAAAGAATTTTGTAGCATCCAGAAACTCTGCTGGGGTTTGATGTTTAGTTTTGCTAGAAATTGAATGTTATGTATGCAAGATGCCCAAAGTTCTATGCAAGTATCTGTTCCAAAGGCACCATCTTTTCTTGTCTTCACATCCATCCCATACAATTATGTAAATATTGTCCTTATAGGACTGTGGACATTATTATTCCTAGTTTGTGTCAATATTTTTATTTGAGAAGGTTCAATGATGTTTTCAAATTAAGTTTATGGTTCTCAAAACTTATTTTCCTCCTTTGTATACTGACTGCTATATATTCTTGTCTCCTAATCTTTTCTCCTCGTTTTAACAGATTACAGGTAGACCTTCACTTATGGCCTATCACTTAGTGACTGTTCAAAATTATGACAGACCTACCTGGGGGTACTTACCACCCAGATTTGAAGTTCCAATGGTTGGCCCCTCGGTCTTATGACCACACATTATGTGCTTGATAACCAAGCTGCATTTATAGCCATTTGCAGCATGATTGTGTATTATGATAGTTTTGCCGAAAACCAGCATTTACACCCAGTTTTCTGCAAAACTGGCCCATAGCAAGCCATGGATTTGCTTAATGATCACAATATTCATTTAACGATCCGAGTGGTCACTTTATGATTGCTGCATTCATTTAACATACCACTGCCAAAAAGGCCATAAAATCTGGTTGATAATGTTACAGACCCTCTTTATGACTGTCGTAACTTATGACTGTAATGAACAGGCCACATTATGGTTGTAACTTGAAGATTACCTGTATCAGGCTGGAGACTGGAGATTGGAGGTCCCTTGGAATGTCATTTTATAAAATCCACTTCAAACTCTGTGGAATTAATGAGTACCGAGAAAGAACTTGAAAATCAGTTTGGTGTAGTGGTTAAGGCATTGGGCAGGAAACCTGCAGACTGTGAGTTCTTGTTTTGCCTTAGGCATGAAGCCTGCTGGGTGATTTTGGGCCAGTCACTTTCTTCCTAGGAAGAAGGCAATGGCAACCCACTTCCAAAAAACCATGCCAAGAAAACTCCAGGGATTGGTCCAAGCAAACACCAGGAGTCAAAATTAACTTGAAGGCATACACGCATATCAAAAAACTTGTTCTGATAGGATGACTCTGAAGTTGTAAAACATCCCTCAGTTGTAAAATTATGGAAGGGGAAAGCAGACAGTTTGATGAGATTGCTAACAATTTCCTTTTAATTTTCAGCCTGCAAATTTCCCCTACAAGGAAGAGATTATGTCAATGAATTCAGTCTGCTTAATTGTCATTCTTCTCCTTTGTTTAAGTATCACATTGGCTTTCAAGGTAAGCATAACATATTTTTATCCACCCTAACAATATGAACTGGAAATAATATGAACTAGAAAAAGGCTTATTGTTTGCTTGTTTGTTTATTAAAATTATCTGCTACCCAGTTTACTATCAAGTGAATCTGGGAGGCTTTAGGATGCCTAAATTTAGGTTGCCCATGATAAATCGAAGTGGACAAGAGCAAAAGGGAAATGCCTCTTAAACCAGTCCTCTTTGTTGAGTATGGACAAGCACAGGGACTCTGCTGCCAACATGTGCCAATAAGCCCACAGTATATTCCATGGTGCCCCCTTGTCTCCCTGTTTCATTTGATTTATTTTTCCATTATTAAAGATTCTTCTAATTATGAAGGTAAAATTGGAAGTTGAGGTGCTGCACGGTGAAATGCCAGCCTATGGCAGTCTTACAAAAGTCTAATAAGCAGAATTATAAAATAAAAATAATGGAAGAGAGCATCAAAATGCTTTGTTTGAAAACAAGGGTAGTAAGCAGTTTGTCAGGAAACTGATGAACTATTTTGTGCCTCTACATTTTGCTCTAGAATCTGTCAGACGGAGGGCAATATACAACTGTAATTTGCAGATATTTGAAAACCTTTATCACTTTTCTCTGGTTTGTTTTTCTTTTCTGTCCTTGGTTCTCATGACAAAATTATTAGTGCAATATATGTATAGCCCATTGTGATTTCTCTTTTCTTGGGTGCAAGTTATTAAGAATGAAAACTTCTTATGTACCTGGATATGATGTTTCTCCTGATGCAAAAGGTTTAAATTTCTTTTCAATACGCTGTTGGCTCATTTGGTATTTAGGGACTATACAGTTAATTCATTTTTCCACCCTTCTGAGATTGGCAAAATGAGGACCCATATTGTAAGGGGCAATATGCTGACATTGTAAACTGCTCAGAGGGCGCTGTAAAGTACTATGGAGCAGTATATAAGTCTAAACGCTATTGCTATTGCTATAAATCTCAACTCTTGTTCTCATCAGAATTACTCTTAAAGTCACTTCCCTCCTATTTTAGTTGTTCGTTCCAATTTTAATTTCTTCAGTATCATTCAGCTGTCTGCCATCAACTGATTTCTTGGTCATCAATACAGTATCTTGAAAAGTAATTTTGAATTAAGTTTTGATCGATACTTTATTTTCAATGAAGATGAAATGGACTCCTATATATTTTGTGGGTCATGGAACGAGGAAAATGTTTATTTTCTGATATTAAAGATATTTTTAATTTTTTATTATCATTTAAGGCATTTATTGAAGCCTTATGCTGTGTTAGAATCCCTTTAAAGCTTTGTAAAACTAATCGCTGGAACTTATTAATCTTTGGCAAGATGCGCAGCCCTGTTTTGTGGTTTCCTGTACATGGAGTTCTTTTATGTTTGGCCATCCTTACTTTTGTTTTTTTCAGCATTTTTAAAAACATCCCCCAGATTGCATTTGCTTAAACCAAAAATGAATGACTGTCGAGCTAGTATATGCTAATTAATATTATATTTATTAAGTTTAAGAGATTACTGTAATATTAACATTTGAAAAGGCAAAATGTTAGAAAGATAGAAAACAATTTCTGTTGTAGAAAAGGGAGAAAGCTATAAATATATCCTCTACCATTTTAAATTGACTCCTGGGATTTGTTTATAGAATCTTCAGTGGTTTAGAATGGAATGTAAGAACAAGGAAAGCATACTTAGTTGTGTTTTAAAAGTTCTAAGGGTTTCTTAGAATACTGTTAAATGGGATTGTTCAGATTAGGTCTGCCAGGTTTCAACTGGAGAACCAGTTAGGTATACTAGCTAAAAATACTAGGCTAGAAACTGAGAGATTATGAATTGTAATCCTGCTTTGGGCATGAAATCATCTGGGGGACCTTGCACCAGTCACCCTCTCTCAGCTCTAGGAAGGAAGCAATGGCAAATCGCTCCTGAAATCTTGCCGAGAAAATTGCAGGGACTTATCCAAGCAATTGTCAAGAGACAAGATTGACTTAAAGGCATCCCAAAAAGGTCTCACAGTAAAAAAAAAAATAAAAAAATGATAACTGCTAGATGGCAGCAAACAGTTAAATGACTTTCTACATTTATTTGCTGCCATTTAGATCTTATTTTTTATATTTTGAGACAGTAGCGGAAGTTCAGCGAAATCATTGAGTTTTAGCGACTCTCAAGTTCATATGCTTTCTGTTCTCTGATACACAACAAAAAAAACCCTCTCTTAAATATCCTTTTAATATAGGATATTTCAGACATTCCTACTTTTACTATAGGATATTCTGGATGTTTCACATGCAAGGCCTACTTGCAATAATACTGTGTTTGCCCAAAAATAAGGCCCTGTCTTATTTTCTTTGGGGCTTGAAAATAAGCACTCAGATTTATTTTCGGGAGGTCTTATTTTTTTAAGCGCAGGAGACGGCGAGCCAACAGGAGTGGGAGCATAGCTACAACTGGTCCCACCCTCTCCATCCCACTGTCTCCTTGCCCGTGGCCGCAACAGGCCAAGCTCTTGTCATGCCCCAGCCTCCACCCACCCTGCCTCCTGGCCCTGCTGCTGCCGGGATACTTCTCTGCTAGGGCAGGTGCCTGCTGGCGGCCAAGTGGTTACCCATGCTGCTGCTGGCCTTGTGGGGTCTCTTTGCCCCTCTTGGTGCAGCAGAGCCAGGTGGAGACAGAGGCAATCCCAATGCGCCGCCCACTCCATCCCACCATCCTCTCGGCTTGCCTGCGGCCGTGCCGAACAAACATCCATGCAGGGCATTGGGATCACCTGCCTCCCCCATCTTCATGCCTCTGCCTGCTGCTGTTGCCACCGCGCAAGCCTCCTGTAAGCATCCCATTAGGCAGCTGCACAGCACATCCCTGTCTGATCGCCTCTCTTTCCCCTCCCCCCCCCCCCGCCTCTACGCTCTGACTTTTCATTATTTGCACTCTGCCAACGGGCTGGCTGCTGTCAGATACCGTCAGCCCCGTGTTCTTGCCACCTCTCCTGCTGGCCACACCCATCCCCGAGCTTATTTTTGAGGTAGGGCTTATATTAGGCCCACCCCAAAAAATCAGTCTAGGGCTTGTTTTCAGGGTGAGTCTTATTTTCGGGGAAACACAGTAACACTTAGCAATAGCACTTTGACTTAAAAACCACTTCACAGTGCTTTACAGCCCTCTCTAAGCAATTTACAGAGTCAGCATATTGCCCCCCACAATCTGGGTCCTCATTTTACCCACTTCGGAAGGATGGAAGGCTGAGTCAACCTTGAGCCTGGTGAGATTTGGACTACCAAATTGCAGGCAGCAATTGCCGGCAGTCAGCAGAAGAGCTTTGACTGTAACATTCTGATACCTCCAAAAATTATTATTGAATTATTTTTAGAGTGTCAGAAGAGGAAATGCTTGGAAATTTAATTGTAATAGCTACATTTACTTTAGGTTAACTTGAAGTATTTTAAAACTAAAATCAAATTTACTTGTTGCCCTGGTTTCATACACTATTTTGGAGTGCATGTGCTTCCTAGAATGTATTTAAAATCCAAATGTGGCTTAGTCCCAAAAATATTGTGCTCCTCTACTACAAAGAAAGTCAGTATGGGAGACTGATTGAGAACAGCCAATTAAGGCTATTGGGTGAGTAAATAGCAGAAGTGAGATTTGAAGCAAGGATTTCATAATTCTAAAAGTGGCTTTTGCTATTATGCTATACCAGCCATCTTTAGTGGTAGAAACTCAAGAAATTAATCTGACCATCTCACTTCTCTACTCCTGGATAGGAAAAGTATGCACTATAAAATCAGTTCATGACAACGTGAAGATCTTTCAGCAGTCTGAAAGTTTTTTAAGGACAAATCTGCAGGAAAGAGGTGGACAGAAAAATTTTTCATTTCAGTCAAATCTCCAAGGCACTTGGTTTTGTCAGCTTCCTGAATTTAGTTAATCATATTCTCAGATGCATGTGTTAACAGATGGTTCTACCAGGTGTCAGTTGTGGGCAAACTGCTGGTGTGTTTTTTAAAATAATAAACACTTGGGACCCTGGCTTTCAAAGAAAAAGAAAGAAAGATGTAGATTTGGAGTGATATGACTATGCACATTTCTATAATTTTTTAAAGTGTCTGTATATTCCATTAGCTCTGGCTTATATCACCACATCTCATTAATCTAGCCTTGCAAGCAAATTTATGATGAGATTAATCCTGACCAGGAAATATTTGAAGCTTTGATATGCATGTAGACTATGAAGGATAATATTCAGATGAATTTTCAAAGAGAATTTACTACAGGTTTTTTTTTTTCTGTGAGTAAAGACACTTGTCTACAATGATTTATATAGTTGTTTTTGCCATTTTATCTCCCAACATTTGAGGCTTAGCTTATCCCTATTTTTAATTTGTCATTTTAAATATATTTTTTTCATAAATTTAACTACTCTAAATAAGTACAAAACTGTTCCAGTGAAAGGAGAGGAGCTTTGGGATTATCCACACTAACCAATGTTCTGCACAGTTGAACATTGACAAAGACAGAGAGGAAAAACAGGGATCTCTTAAGCAACATATAACATATGATTCAGCTTCTCCAATTTGAGAACCTTCCCTGAGGTCTTCAGCCAGCACAGTCATAGCTGAAGGTACCAAAGTTTAGGAAAACTACACAGTGTTGAAGCAATTCAGTTCACAGTTCAACACATCTTGTCTTCTCCTTTTTCTCCACCCTCTTTCTTCCAGGCTTACTTGATCAGTTGTGTATGGAACTGTTATCGCTACATTAATAACAGAAACAACTCTGATGTCCTGGTCTACATTACCACTAATGACACAGCGGTAAGTTTGTTGGGGTTGACTGGAGCTGTGAGAGGTTCCTGGGTTTAGATGAGAAGACCTGTTTTGGATGGTACAAAATCCAAAGGGATGGGAATCTTCAATGATGCAACTTTGACCAGGGGTGATATTACCTTCGCTACTGGTTCGCAAATGTGTAGCGTCAAAAACGGGACGTGATGACGACCAGGCAGGTGGACGGAGCCTCCCGCACCCACTGCTACCAGTTCACCCAAACCAGATAGAACTGGCTGAATACTACCACTGACTTTGACCAGCATGGCTGTTGCTTTCCTGTGTACTTATCGGGCAATGATGGGTCCTATTATGCTGAGAATACAAGTTGCCCAAGTCAGATATCAGTTTCTCTATGCTCTGGTTTCACCAAGGAAAAATCAGCTAAATTGATTTCTGGAGAAACTTGTCTGTGATTTTTGGATAATGTGTATTTCGGGACATTAGCCGGAAATGCTTTTGTCTTCCTGTTGGGCTTCCCAAAGATACCTTCTTTTCAGTAAGTTCATATATATAAGACTTGATTTTAACCATGGTTTGGTAAATAGTCCCAAATTACTATGGTTTCAATACGCCACTTAGTCATGAATCTTAGGTTATAAACCACAGTGGTTTATGGTACATTAAATCAAAAACAAATGTATATTATGGCTTAGATTGGTGTATGAATCCAGATCTAACAGGGTACTTTCAGTGGTCTTATATTTACAGTTGCATTGTTCAGGGATCAAGATATATTGTCACCTGCCAAGATGTGTCCGAGCTTGTCTCTATGTTGACCATTCTTGTGCTGCTTCTTCCCTTACAAGATTCTCTTTTCTGCATATTGTTATTTAGCATTTTCTGGTTAATTACCTGCTGCATGCCTTTTATTATTTTATTTTATTTTATTAAATGTTAGAACAAGCCATCATTTAACAAAACATCAAACTAAAATTCCACATCTTAATTTGTTCCAACCTTGATGCTGATATAGATGTTGTGGTAAATGGATCTTTTAAAAAAATCTTGTATTGAGCAGACTGACCCTTGCATTTTCTAGGAACATTGGCTCCCAGTTTGGGGATATTAGCTTATGAATCTGAACTGGACTTGTGTCAGTAGGTCCTAGTTCCTGTAAGGACCACCACCTGTAAGGAACACGAACTACCTGCTTCTTCTCCTAAAAGATTTAGTCCCTCAGCCTGGGAAATCTTAAACAAAAAGTACATTAATGCAATTAAATCCTTAATTCCCATAATTATCCACACCCTGATATGAGACGATCCAGGAGCATAAACTTTTTCCGTTAATGTTTGCTCTGAATTAGACCCAGAAAGCCCATTTCTTGGAGGTGTCTTTTAATGACTCCCAGATGATCCTGCCACAGTAAACGGTATATTTTATATCATTTCCCCTGATAAGTGTATGTTTTTTGTCTAGAGAGAGAGAGCTCTTTTATTTTCTAAAAGTTAGTACTGTCAAATATGTGGGCAGCTGTATATTCTCTCACACAATAAATGTCTTCTGAGGAATGTTTTGGCAACACAAAGAATTTCAAAGCTATAAATTATCTCTGGGCAGTCCATTTCCATTTGTAATTGCTCCAGAGTGGTTTCTAATGGCAATGCTCATAGACAAACATTTAGGTTGCTTCCTGCTCAGTTAAGCAGAGAGACAAACTGAGCTCCACCATTTGACAGATGATATTTTATTAAGAAATAATTCCAACTGCTCCTTAGTATATGTGTTTCAGGCAGACTCTTGAAACTATGTTCTAAGTCGTGTGAAATATACAATTATGGTTGGTTGTTTATTCATTTACTTTACTTGTATGGGGCCTATTCCCAAATTCTATGGTGGCTCACAATGTCAACATATAAAATGATTATCCCAAACCCTCAAATATACATAAAAATAAAAAGAGCAAAACAAAAGATAAAAAACACATTCAATTACAACACACCATTCTGCTGCTTCCAGATTCAATCCAGGGTATATTCTATGAGCCGTGGTGGCGCAGTGGTTAAAGTGCAGTACTGCAGACTACTTCTGCTACCTGCCAGCTGCTTGCAATTTGGCAGTTCAAATCTCACCAGGCTCAAGGTTGACTCAGCCTTCCATTCTTCCGAGGTGGGTAAAATGAGGACCCACATTATTGAGGGCAATTTGCTGACTCTGTAAAACCGCCTAGAGAGGGCTGTGAAGCAGTATGTAAGTCTAAGTGCTATTGCTATTGTGGTAGAGACCATTGTGTCCAGGTCTGGCCATCACATGAAGATTCAGATAGTTTGAGTGTATTGTAAAGTTATAAAAACAGATACATTCAATAAAGAGTTGCAGTTGCTTCTTTGAGCCATGGGTGCGCAGTGGTTGGAATGCAGTACTGCAGGCTATTTCTGCTGACTGCCGGCTGTCTGCAGTTTGGGAGTTCGAATCTCACCAGGCTCAAGGTTGACTCAGCCTTCCATTCTTCAGGTGAGTAAAATGAAGACCTAGATTGTCGGAGGCAATCAGTGGTGGTATTCAGCCGCATGCGCGAGCAAAGCACATGCAAGCTGCGCCTTCTCACATTTTCAGTGCACAGTGAACCAGTGGTAAAATTATGTTAAATCCACCTCTGGAGGCAATATGCTGACTCGCTGACTCTGTAAACCACTTAGAAAGGGCTGTAAAGCACTGTAAAGCGGCATATAAATCTAAGTGCTATTGCTACTGCATAGGACAGAACAGATAGGTCTTCACAATTTTGCTGAAGCCCAAGATGGACAAACAGACCAAATCTTTGCCAACAGAATGCAGCTGATGAAAAAGGTAGTTTTAGATAGCTGTTCAAAAGGAGTGGAGAGAGGAAAGGTCTCTAAGGCATTCCACACTGTAGAAGTCTCTGGGCAGATCTCCTGTCACCACCAATCCTGAATGTCAGTGCTCCTTCAGGAACAACGAGAACCACTGCAGAGCAATGCCCACCACTCCAATTGCTCAGAAGTGGCCCAGGAATCTAACACAGTTGAGGGTTTTAAAAGCTGCTGAGAGATCAAGGAGGAACAGGAGGGTTACATTCCTCCAAACCTTAATGGATTTTTGGAAGGATAATAGAATTGGAACTAATTTCATCTCAGAGAGAATGGTGTTTCAGAGGATAGGAGTCACAGCAGAAAAGACTCATCTCGTGGGTTCCAATAATACCTCTCTATAAAGCCTTAGTAAGATCACACTAGAATACTGCATCCAGTTTTGGTCACCACACTATAAAAAAGATGTTGAGATTCTGGAAAGAGTACAGAGAAGAGCAACCAAGATGATTAGGGACTGGAGACTAAAACATACAGGAACTAGGCATGGCTAGTCTAGTGAAGAGAAGGACCAGGGGAGACATGATAGCAGTGTTCCAATATTTGAGGGGCTGCCACAGAGAGGAAGGGGTCAAGCTATTTTTCAAAGCACCAGAAGGCTGGACAAGGAATAATGGCTCGAAACTGAACAAGGAGAGATTCACCCTGGAAATAAGGAGAAATTTTCTGACAGTGAGAGCAATCAATCAATGGAACAGCTTGCCTTCAGACATTGTGGGAACTTCATCACTGGAAGCTTTCAAGAAGAGACTGGACTGCAATCTGTCAGAAATGGTGTAGGATCTCCTACTTGGGTGGGGGGTTGGACTAGATGACCTACAAAGTCCCTTTCAACTCTGTTAATCTGTTAAATCTGTTCCATTAAAGGGAAGAATGTAACAGATGGGATCTGTAGCATATTTCTCCTGCTGGACCTAATGGGATGGATAGATGTAACCCAGGAGACGTGGTCCCTCCAATAACCTAGTCTCATGCCATGAGTGTTGGTGAACCTTTTCGGCACAGAATGCCAAAACAGGAGCATGCACACGTGCAAGGGGGAGTGCCAGAAACCGGAAGAACAGCTCCCTGGCACACACACGCAGGAGCATTGGAAACCGGAAAAGCAGTTCCCCAGGGTGCAACCGCTCACCGGTTTCTGGTGCTCATGCATGCGTGAAGACCAGCTGGCCGGCGTGCGTGTGCATGCCAGAACCTGGAGGAGAAATGGGCAGCGGCTGGCATGCCCAGAGAGATGGCTCTGCGTGCCACGTCCGCCACCCATGCCATAGATTCACCATCATGGCCATCAAAACTAATACCCTGGATTGAACCTGGAAGCAAATACAGCTCACAGGGCAAAAGTGTAACATGTGCTGTTCTAGCAGCACATGCAACTGCCCACGCCATCACATTTTGCACCAACTGAACCTTCCAGACTCTCTTCAAGGGCAGCCCCATGGAGAATGCATTACAATAGTCCATTTTAGAGGTAACCAGGGCATGAGTAACCATGCGTAGAGCCTCATGATCCAAGAAAGGGTGAAACTGACACTGAAAACGAAGGTGTGCAAAGGTACTCCTATCCATGACTGTTGTGTGCTTCTTGAGCAGGTGTCATGAGTACAGAAGGACCACAAGATTGTATCCCAGCTGCAATTTCATCCAGCACCAAAAATGGTAAAGTCTCAGGTCCAGAAGGTCCTAAAACTCAAAGCCACTCAATCTTGCCAGGGTTTAGCCAAAGCCTGCTGCCCCCCCCCATCCAGACCCCACAGCCTCCAGACACAGAGACAGGAAATTAACAGCATTGTTTACTTCATTGGGGATGGAGATACATAATTGAATATCATCTGCGCATGCGCAGAAGCTTCCTGATGATGTTGGGGTCGGTGGGAGGAGCCTCCTGCCGGTTTTACTATCGGTTCTATAGAATCGGTCCGAACCCGGGGGCAACCCACCACTGGATATACCATGGTATCTTTAACTTGCACGTTTCCTATCTCAGATAGCATTATCATTAAAACTGGAAAGTTAACTTGGCAGTCAGTTCAATGATTTGCCTTTTCACGTTTGCATTGTGACAATGTTTAACTGAGAAATAATTCTGTTTCCTGCTGCTCCTAAGTGCTTGTTACAGATGTGCTGGTGTAAAAAGAATGTTTACTGTTAACTCAACTGTGGTTTAACAAAAGAAAAGAAATCCACAACCAATGTGTGGAGTTTTGTTTGAGCCAAATTCATTGGTCAAAACATATGTATCCCTAATGCCTATAGGGATTGCTGTTTGCTGTAATTCAATTTGAAATGGCTTGTTCTTGATCCATTTCCATTTTGGAATTGTGCCATTGAGTCTTATATTATTAATGAATGGTTCCATGGCTCTAAAGTTATACATGTATCAACTAAAACCACAACTGCCAGTGACATTGTAGAAAATACCTCTTCTTTGTCCCATTTCTTTCAAAATTCCTGAAAGTGTGAGATCTGTTTTAGGAGGAATTTTAAAAAGTAGTACCAGTAGTTTGTAAACAATAGTTGAAAATACTCTGAAGTTGGAAGAGTTGTAGGAAAATGGTCTGTGGGTGTACTGACTAATTTTTTAAAAAACAAACAAACCCATGTAGCTACTATTTTTCCTGTTAAAAGAAATCTTCCCCTTGTAAAAGCTGATTTTTTTTGGCCCACTACATGCAGTTCTCAATTTACAACCACAATTGAGACCAGAATTTCTATTGCTAAGCAAGACAGTTATTAAATGAATCGCGCCTCATTTTGCAACCTTTTTTTTTTGCCACAGTTGTTACAGTAATCACTGTAGCTGTTAAACCAAATCAGCTATCCTCATTGATTTTGCTTATCAGAAACCTTTTGGGAAGGTTGCAACCATCATTAATACATGCCAGTTGCCAAGCACCTGGATTTTGAGCACATGACCCTAGGGATGCTGCAGTGGTCGTAAGTGTGAGGACTGGTTGTAAGTCACTTTTCCCAGTGTCTATGGAGATTCTCAGTCATCCAAGTCATGGTTGCCCCCTAAGGTGCTTTTTCAGGAGGCAACTGGACTTTCTGGTTTTTCTTTGAAAACATTTTGCTTCTTTTCCAAGAAAAAGCAGCTTTGGGTCACTTTTTTTTCAGTGCCATTGTAACTTTGAATGGTCACTAAGTGAATGGTTGTAGGTGAATGGTTGTAAGACAAAGACTATGGCTGGCTGGGGAATTCTGGGAGTTGAAGTTCACAAATCTTAAAGTTGCAAGGTTGGACATCCCCGTTTTAATCCTACTGTTTTCAAAACCATCTTCATTTCTTTCTTTTCCTCAGGTGCTGTTGCCATCATATGATGACTCTGCAAATGGCCCAGGGAAAGATGCCCCTCCTCCTCCTTATGTAGATGCATAAGTGTGATGTGTACCTAAAAAAACCAACTATACTATTTTTCAGATCATCCAAGCAATATATCCTTTCACTTTCAAGATGGACATGCAAGATCCTAGATTAATTTATAGATTATTTTCAAAATGTATTTTGTGTTTTCTTGTTTTGCCTAAAACATTACTGAACTGGCTTAGTTTAGCAAAGTATACTATAATCGCATTGTAGGTTTTTTTTCCTCATGTAATATGTATTTTTATTCCCGCCATACCTTATGTGGAAGTTTTGCTAGTTTAAATGGCAGAATTTTCAAATCAGTTTTAAGAATCGTGTCTCAATTTACAACTCTCAGCTGGATTTCGATTTACCTTTCCGTTAATCCAGATGCAGGCAAACTATAGGTCACATGACCCTCCCCCTAGTATCTTACATGATAGTGTTGCTATTGGGTAGCAAAATAGCCAAATTTCAAAGGAATTTCAGACTGTAGGGTAGATAAGGATAGGAACAAAGTTATCTATCTCCCTCCCCCATAAATAGGGATTTATGAGGCACAGTGGTGCAGTGGTTAGAATGCAGTACTGCAGGCTACTTCTGCTGACTGCCGGCTGCCTGCAATCTGGCAGTTTGAATCTCACCACGCTCAATGTTGACTCAGCCTTCCATCCTTCCAAGTAAAATGGGTAAAATGAGGCCCAAATTGTTGGGGGCAATATGGTGACTCTGTAAATTGCTTGGAGAGGGCTGTAAAGCACTGTGAAGTGGTATATAAGTCTAAGGCTATTGCTATTTATGTTCCTTTTCTTACTCTAACCATCCCACCCCCAAACCAAAAAAAAAAAAAAAATGGAACATTACAATCCTCCTAGTCCAGTATGTTTCATCAGCCTGATGTTTCCATAAAAATTGAACCACAGTTCCCATATCTCCAGCTGGAATAGCCAATCACTGTATTGGCTGAAGGATATGAAAATGGTGCAATTTAAAACAGTCGGAAGGGTTTCAGGCTGGGGATTACAAATCAAGACTTTTAATTGACTTCCAAATTAAACCACTCCCCAATACAATATAATGCTTTAGATTTCTTAATTGTGAGGTCAGACTGTTAATTTTCCTGCTATTTCAATTCTGGCAACATTGTTTTGTCTACTTAAGCAATTGCTACTTAAGTAATCCCACTCGGCAATTACGAATGCTGGGAATAAACCATTTTTGAATGTCATTGATTTCATGGATTTTTAAACAATTTTTTAACACACGCACACACCAATTGAACTCAAGGGTAATGCTTGTATCTACTGTGACTCTGTCACTTTGTGCAAATAAAAGTTAATTGAATAGTCAATATTTCTGTGGTATTTTGGGAAATTCAATATGCCATTTTGAGGTTCCTGTACTGATGTTGGTCGCATCATTCTGTGTGTGTTCTGTTATTTTCTTTAATATAAGAAATTAGCACTCCTATTTGGATAACTCCAGTGTCTATGATGTCTGGGACTATGGCAAATTAACAACAACAACAACAACAATAATAATATCAATAACAACAGTAATAATGTTTTAATATGTATTACAGTCATTATTATATAACTTTACAACAACCCTAGAGGGTAGGCTATTATTTCCAAGTCTAGTTTAATTCTTATAAATAAGCTAGCTACAGTTGCCTTCATGACTGAGTCAGCATACAAATTGACTAAAAGAATAAGTAAATAACATTTGTGGTTCTTATCTGGGACCCATTAAATCAGTTAGACATAAGCATGACCATCATGAATCCTATTGATTTTAAGCCTATGTTTCTTAAACATACTAGTATAGGTTTACTTGAGAAGCTGGTGTATAGTCACAAAGGTATAAATCAATAAAATTGTTTATTTTTCATTCCTTTAAAAATGGAATCCCTCTCACTTTTTAAATGAGTCATGCATTACATGAAGCCATAGTTTGCTTAAATGAACCACAGCTGGCTGGGTTTGTGCAGATGACAACATTAAGAAAGTTATATGTGGGTTACTGCAATGCGTAAACTAAAAAAAAAAGATTATGAAGAAACTAGGGACATTTGTTCCAAACTTCTCTATTTGGCTAATGTTTAAAGCAGATTACATACTAGTCTCAGCCCAGCTGTTGAAGATTATTAGCCTATTGGTAGAACACATGTCTTAAATGCAGTAAGTCAAGGGTTCAGTCCTGGTTATGTTCACATAAACTTCCATTTTTCCCCAAAAGTAGAACTAAAAAACAGAATTGAGGGTAATGAAAGTAATGAAGTGAAACTGGAAACAAAGCAATTTTCTCCTCCTAGGGAGATGTAAAGCAGGGGTGTCAAAATGACGACAACACGTCGTCATGTGACGTATCACAATGTTTTCCCCCTTCTTTAAACTGGGAGTGGGTGTGACCAGCACGTCATGCATCCGACCCGCAGGCCATGAGTTTGACACACCTGATGTAAAGGGAAGAACTGATAGACACCCCTACATTCAGTGCAGGCTATTTCTTACTATGTACTGATCTGCTGATTAAGCAATGAAGTGAGTCCTTGCTAAATCAATGCACTAACAAGGAATTTTCCACATAAGTTTTTCTTTTGTTATGCAAGTCACTATTACACTGGATTAGGCTTTACAATCAATTTGAATTCCTAATTTCTTTAACTTTGGTTTACCTGGTCTGGATGATTATGCTAAGAGTTCATGTTAGATTACTGTTTTTAATTTGTGACATTTTAAATCATCTGTATGAAAAACAGCTATACATACTTTTCATTCAAAACTTGTGGTAAAATGAGCTCTAATAAAAGGATTATTTCCTCATATCTTTGTATGACTTACAACATTTTTTCAATAAATGCCATTATTGGTTCAAGTATCAGATCAGAAATATTTGAGTTAAAGATCTAAACTCTCAGCCAATGAGTGAGTGATCTGAGAGTGGGTGATTTGTGGCCAATCTCAGAATTGGGTTGTTAATGTAAATGAGATAAAATTGTCCCATACATTAAATTGGCTCCTAGAGAAAAGATGGCATACAAACATAAAGTCGATTCTCATGTTTATATAGATTTATGCCCCTTCACCAAACTTTTATTTCTTTCATTATTTCTCTCCGTTTCCATTTCCATTGCAATCAATATTGATTTCAGGAATGGCAGCTAAATTGTTCACCGGGAGGGAGAAATGAAAAAAGTCAAGATGGCATCCTCTATTGTACACTACCTTGAGGGGGGGGGTCATCCCCCCCAATCTATTCACAATTTAGACTGCTCCTGATAGCAAAGCTAGGGAACAAATGAGTTTGGTTAAAAAGCCAACTGTTTTTTTTTCTTCTAGACTGAGAAAGGAAAGAATTTGCGGGCAGAGCATTAGTTATAGCCAATGGTCACGTATGGTACATTCACAGACAGTTAAGAATCTTAAAAAACCTAGCAGTAATTGAAACCTGCAATTATAGTGCAATAGATCGGGGAAAAGAAAAACCTTTCTAAAGTCTGTTCTGTACTTAATAATGCTATGGAGGAAAGTATGCTTCACGATCATGTTTTAAACACAATAATGCATTTTTTGAAAGCTACTGCCACTATTTTGTAATTATCTCGCATAGTTTGCAGCACAGTCATTAATGTGGACCTAATACTGTAAAGATATTGTCAATTCAGATATTTAGCATATTATCCACAGAGCGATATCTCCCTTTTAAAAGTAAACTTGGCCTGCACAGATATGAGAACAGTGTAAAACGTATCACTGTTGCCACATACTAGAATTTGATATTCCAGTTCAACCTGAGATGGCAAATTACTTAGCTCTCTCATATTCTTTTGATGTTCTATAACCTAATATTGTAACAAATGTAACACCTTTATTTTTTATCCCTTGTGTTAAACAAGCTCATATCTCCATTACTGTGGATTATTCTTGGCATTGTTATTTCTAACCCAACCTTCTCATTTCAACGATTGTTTTCCTTGGATGCATATTTGTATATTTGGCACAGACTATTAAAAGTTGGGAAGTCTTATTCTGAATTACTTCATTGTATAATTCTATCCTTCCTTTAAATAGCTGCGGGTTGTATGTATGGACTAATTCCATTTATTTTCTATACGTGTTTAATATATTAAGGAAAGAAAACATTATTTCCTAGCTGATTAATATACTACTACCTCAACTTTCCTCAAACAAAAACCAACATTTAGCTTATGTTCTGGAACACGGGATATAACCCTGATTGATTCAGCCAGGACTTGCACCCACTTCTTAAAAAGAATTTTGTTTATTAAATACATACAAGTGAAGGTCAGTATCTATCATGTGATGACAGCCATGGCATATGTAACTTGGAATTTAAAGGAGGATAAATGTATTAACTGAAGGAAAAGTAAGAAAAATAGATAGTTTATGATATAATAAATATGAATAAAGGTGGTCCAAATCTTGTGAAATTGAATACTGTACATGCTTGAAAGTGAAGGTACAGTTGAAAAAATTAAAATGGATAGAAAAAAAGAGGATAACAAAAGACATGTTGAACTTAATACTGTGACTGATAACATGAACTAAACTTTGAACTCAAAGATGCAGTTAGTCAGAAACAATCCTAGAGAAAAAGTGCTCATCAGGTCATGAGATGGAAGTAACTGAACAACACTTCTGGTTCACTGACTGGGTTAGAAAGTTCATGAGTTCACATAAAATGCTACGTTTGATTAACTGGCATGTTAGCATGCCATTAGTCTCAATATTTTATTTATATTTTTATAAATATTATAAATTTCATTTCTCTTTAATGAATGCACTTTCTACTATTTTCTTCTTTCTTACTGATAAACTGTATTAGTAATTATTGTAGGATATAGTAATTATGAACCAGTTGGCTTCTATACAAAAAGCTTGTTTGTTGCAGCCACAGGCTCTACTACACACAATGTAAGAAAAGACAGGAAAGACGTTATCATTTATATTGTCAACATTTATTCACTGGAAAGTGTTAGACTTTAACAGAACTGCTTTTCATAAAAAAATAAAAAACAAGATAAAATACAGGATCACAAAGAGATAATCTAATTTACAAATCACCATTTAAAAATTTATTAAAACAAGCACACTGTTTTATCAGTTAACCAGAAATGTTTCACACAATAGTTTTATGAACTTCTAACCTATAACCCATTATTATTAGAAAGCAACATTTCGAATGCTCATGTTTTAAAGCTTTCTAATTTATTGTCTTTTTAGGACAAGATAGTATTTTGAAGATGCTACTGCAAACAAAAGTGCTGTTTGTAGAAAGTAATCCCAATGTGATCCAATTTATCATATACACATACACACACACGCACATCCCAAAATGACTTTTCTAAACAATATTTGTATCAGGTTCAGAACTGTAACATTTCTGACAAGGAACTGTATGCAAATATGTAATCTTAGTTTAACATTAATGTCTGAATGCATGTGAAAGCACAAATTCATTTCAATATTGGAACATATTTAACATATTAGTAACTCAAAGCTACAAATAGAAAATGTAGATACTGGTACTAAATCTATTGTGCACATTAGTACTAAAATCCATGAAACAAATTTTATTTTGTTAACCTGTTAACCTGGGATCATTGAAGACTTGTAATGCTTGAGAGTTTTAACAACTAAAATTATGTGTGTGTGTATGTGTGTGTATAAAATTTTAGTTGTTAACACTCAGGCATTACAAGTCTTCAATGTAATATGTATATATATGTAATAAAATAAACTGTATCTTTCATCTGAATGGCTGGAGGAGAAAAAATAAAATCAATATAATCCTCATTTATGGAAATGCTTAAATGTCTCTTGAGAGACAAGAAGCAATCTTGTAAACGTTTCATAATTGACAAGAAAAATATTTGGACTTATACAGTTAGTATATTTCTTATTTTCTAGATGACCCACAAAACTAGTTTCTACAGATAGGAGTCCAATGATAAGAGTATCATTCTTGGCCCAAAAATATTAGCAAAAACTGTAACTTCACACTCTACAACTAACATGTGAGAACTAAATCATTATTAGGGATAATGGAAGCAAAGTAAAGGAGAAAAGAGGAAATCTGTAGATATCTTCATCATCCTTATAACATGTTCTCACTTGGAAAATACTACTTTAAGAAAATAAACGGTGACCGCTTATCCAGTCTGAGAGGCTCCCTTAGGTCAGTGATTCCTCTTGTAGTATTTTCTTCTAGTAGTGTCTACCTCAAAATAAAGGAAAGTATTTTCCTAATGGAAGTGGAGATGAAGATAGATATCAATGGCAGTGACTGTAGATATCAAGGAGAGTAGACAGTGACATTTTTGTTATCTTCTGCAGTTATAATGTGAGGACAGAAAGAGTGAGTTTTGCTAGACAACAGATTGGGAAGCAGGGAAGAAAAAAGTAAAAAGGAGAATGTGCATGGATTTAAGCCTAATGTTAATTGTAATGTAAAATAGAAACATCTCAAGATTATAGCTATTGTGTTGAAAGAAGGCTATGTTGCTTATACATATTTTCCAAAGGGAAATTCCTTAGGGCGCTGCTAGTAAAACATTAAGAGGCTGAGGCTGAGACTGAACTGTCACACCCTATGAGCACCTGAATAAATAAAGTAGAAAATGAAGAATTGGCTTTGGTGGTTTTTTTCAAAATGGTTGACCATTTAAAATAAATACATGGTATTTCATTTGAGATAGCCAAAGTACTCGCTAACAATAGAACATAGGCAACTACAATAAACATAATAGACTTGGGAGGATGGCATCTCAAGGATCACTTTCTTCAGTATGCTCTTCCTAGATTCTCTGTCCAAATTGGCAGCCTCTTCCAGATCCCTCAGATATGAGGAGGGAGATAAGGATCAAAAAGCAAGGCCTTTGTGGTAGCAACCTCCCCTTTCCATGCAAGATCCAGGGGATCCCTGCATTGTCTTTGCCTTGAATTGAGACATGTTTCTTCCTCTGAGGTGTAAAAAAGCAGCTGAGGAGCTCTGATTTAATGTCTGGTTTTTCTTTAGTTCTGCCCCCCCACCCTCCAAAATCACAGATCTCATATCACTTGGTATTTCATGGTTGCCAGTAATCTTGGTTTCCTCTTGAAGAAAAGTCTGGATATTATTTTTCTGAAGAAGACGAAGTAAATAAACAAGAGAAGGCTTAGCATCGCAGAATCGTAGCCTAGGAGCAGGGAAGAAAACGTCCCTTCGACGACAGCAACCGACAGGCTCAGCAGAAATCGAGAAGCCTCAATTAAAAAAAAAATAGGACTCAGTTGGGCTTTAAATTCTTTAATGGCGAGTCTCCGGCGGGACATAAAAAAGAGAGGCAGGGACAGCAGGCCGCGCGGTTCTGGAGTTGCTTCTCCTCCCGTTTTCCAGCTCCCTGAGGTGGCGGCGCTACCCTTCCGCAGAGCCTCCCGGCGCGGCGGGGCTTGACCTCCGGCCGTCTCTCCACCCCTTCGCGCAGATAGACAAAGGCTCAGCGCCTCTCTTCGGATGGGACAGGGAAGGAATTGTGCAGGCGCCGTCAACCGGGCCGCTTATCGCCTCGCCGTCGCCTCACCTCGGGAGCCCGGACCCACCTGGCGCGGCAGGTAAGAGAGGCGCGCGCGCGAAGAGTGGGGGGGGGGGAGATGTTTTGGCGCCAAATCCTATTCGCCCCGGGCGCCTTCTCGGTCTGAGGGAGTAAAAGCGTTGCTTGGTGCTGGGACTTGGCTTTCCCCCAAATGTGATTCCCTCTGGCCTGAAGGGGCACTTATGGGGGTTGGAGAAGGGGTCCCGTTGCCTGTGACAGAACAAAATCCGGCTAGTTTAGCCAGGCGTAGGGGAGGCGGCAAATCAGACTCCGAAATGAATCCTAAACTGAAGGGAGAAAGGTTTTATGGGGTCGGTATCCAGTCCCGTCGCCCCCGCAATACCTTAAATCAAACCTGCTTAGAGAAGGGAGGAAATGCCAAGAGGAAAAAATGTCCAAGAGGAAAGGAATGGCAAGGAATATTATTATTGAAGCGGAGCAGAAGTGGAACTCTTATGAAACTTTAATATAGGAGATTCAAAGCCGAGAGGAAACAAATGAGAGTGGGTGGTATTTTTGGGGGGTGGACTCTTCCTTTGCTGCCATGTCCTTTAAAACTATAGCTTTGAATTGTCTTCCCTCATCCTCCTGTAGATAAGTCTTGCCAGACTGTCCTCAAGGGATCTTGGCACTGTTCAAATATTTCCATTTACAGCACTCACTCCCACAGCCTTGTATCACTTATCTCATTTAAGAAGAATCATTTATTTCACTTAAAAATCTTCATAGCAGGAATCAGGACGTGATTCTCCAACAAGGTTTTTGCCTCTCATATGGAAACAGTGGCATTTGTTGCTGCCTTATCTAATATTGAAACCTGAGTGCTTTTTTTCAGTGCTGCCAATCAGCCTCCCAATTTATGAAGAAACCCAAAAAATGTTTTTCAATGTGTTTTCTGATATATATTAGGGGCTGTCTGCAGAATATACTTAGTGCTCAAAAGTGGATCATTTAATGAGATCAAATTGGCATATACCTGAATGGGACGTGAAAGAATCAGAGTCCCCAAATATCTGTAAAAAGTATTTTTCTAATTCATTCTAAAGTTTCTGCTAATGTTATTAGGGGATATATGTTAAAAAACAATGAGAAGCAAGGTATATTTTGTTCTTTTAGCATCGGTAGTTGGTGAAAAAATTCATAATTTCTTCATCTTGTTACAGAGTTCTGCCCTGATTATACCTATTGCTTCATTCTTTCCTATTCTTGAAAATGAAAAGAATGATTTTATATTTCCTTTTGCTGGTTGGACTTTTTCCTGTTTCAGCCAGGGAACGACAGCTTCGAAGAATATCTTTAAGTCAAAGAAATGATGCTACTTTTCTTGGTAAGTTGCTGTTAGTTTGTGAAGCAAAGAAATGTGTATAATTTAATCTTCCTAATCTTTGCAGATGAGAGGCATAGGGATTTAGGGTGTGTGAAATAGCTGATTTCCATGGGAAAAGGAATAGCAAATGAAAGGGAAGTTAAATATTTTACTGGACTGCTGACTTGTTTTGAAATAAATCAGTAAAATAGAGCAAATAATAAAATTCGAGTTAGGATTTTGAGGAACCAAAATAAAATTTAAAATGTACACTTATAAATACATATTTAAATACATAATTAAAATAAAAACCACTTCTGAAGCAGGCATTGAGTTTACAAAAATGTGTACCATGACCATTTTCTTTACTCTTGTTTTTCTTTTCTATATTTCAAAACAGCTTTTCTTCTCTTAGTTTTATAATAAAATTTAGAGCAGGAAAATAAGCAGAAAATAGTTAATTTCCTCCATTCCCTCCACTGCCTTTTCAACCAAAATTTCTTTCTGGAAGTAGCTTTTATAATTTAAAAAGTTATACTGGGATAATGTTTTGTTCATCTGTATATAATTTATACATTTGGATTTCTAATGAAGTATGCATATTGGAGATACTACTCTCCAGTAAGATTAATTGTCTATTTGTATTATGTTTGAAATATGTAACAGCATTTTGGAGTAAGGATAACTCTGTTGGAAGCTTAACTGTATGACATAATGCATAATTTTTCTTTCCATTGCTTATGTATAATAAATGCTTAATTCCCAGTAGAGGTTTGGCTTCCAAATTACAACATAAACACTATTTTTTCTTCCTTCATTCAATTTTTCCTTTTGAAATCTAGATTTAATGCACCCTGTTTAGTGAACCTCCATTGAAATGGATCAAAATTCTATCAGTTGTCCCTGTGAAATAATAGATCTGTTGTATCTAAAATAATGAAGCAGATATTATTAATTTTACATTAATATTATGTCATTTGTGATAATTCACATTTATATAATGAATCAAAGCAATGGAAATTTAATGTTGCCAGAGCAGAAATATCAAGAATATATATTGTCATTATTTATATTAGTGAATTAAAATGAACTGAAAGAAGACTTTTCATGTCAGGTCTTCTACTGTAGATAAGAAATCAGAGAAGAAATGGAGTAGTCAAACCTTATGATTTATGCTCCAATCACAAATGCAAACAAAGCAGAAATTAATAATTCTGTGGCAATTTATAATGTATACTAATTGGAAATGTTGACCTTATATATGAAATTAAGTAGGAGGCAAATTAATACAATCATGCCAAGAAAATGCAGTGTTTATAGTCAATATTATTCCTAGCCATTTAAAGAGTAACTGCATGGACATCATCAAGATAGGTAACACTAAACCAATCCAAGAATGCAAGAAGAAGCAAGAAAATGCAAGAGCCTGGGAGACAGGCTACCTAAGAGTATCTCTTTGCTCAGGAGCTGAAAATTCTCCCTGCTGAAATCCAAGCAGAATGTTCAGTCTCTGAACAAAGAGACCGTATGCCAGGGTTCCTAGGGGCTCTCCTATTCCCGAGGCACTTTGTACTCCTTACTTATCTCTCCATTCAGAAGATGGAAATCCTTCCTGTCAAAATCCAAAAGGGATTGTCAGCCCCATGTGTGAAGATGTGTGTAGTTTGTACCAGGCCTCTGAGGACCTCCCCTACCTCTGTCAGGCACTCTGTGCTGTTTACCTTACTATGCTGCCTCTTCACTGATGGGCTGAAAATCTTGTTTGGATTTCAGTTCCCTCTCATTTCTGGGAGCTGACTGAAAGAGCTCCCTGCTGAAGGATTTCAGCACCATGCCTTCTTCAAAGCTGAAATCCTTTAGTAAGGAGCTCTTTCAGCCAACTCCCAGAAATGAGAGGGAACTGGTAGGCGGCAACAGTTTTCACCTTCCCTGCTGGCTTCCCCATGGATTTCCTTGGGAAACCAGGAGAAAAGATTGCAAATGGTGATCACATGATTGTAGGTGCTTGGCAAACAACTGTAAGTGCAAGCAAGTTGCGAGGCAACTAGGTCACAATTACATGACACCAGGGGAGGGAGTGAACAATGGTTTGTGATGGCCAGAAGTGCTTTATATGCCGTAAAGCCGCCTTTCCAACATGATTGTTAATTTGAACTATTGTTAAGGGAACAGTCATAAATTGAGAACTACCTGTACTACTTTTGTCAATGCAGAATTCTGTAGATTGAGGTTAGTCCTTAATATACTGGTTATATTTGGTTATATGACAACTAAGAAGCAACAGTTAGAGTAGAACAACTAAATGGTGTAGAATTAAGAAAAGAATATATCCAGTCTGTATATTACAAACATGACCTGGATGATTAAGAATCTCTGTAGATATCTAGATTGTGTATTATATCTTCATTTGTTAGTTTACATGCAGGATATATTACGAGAAATGCTGATCTAGGGAAAATATACATTTTAATTACACTTGATAGGAAAAAAAATAACCTTTGACATGCTGATAATGCCTTTGTAGTTGAAAGCAAGTTTTAATGGATCTATTGTTGGAATTGAAATAAGAATGAAGCTTTTCATTTTCTACATCATATTTAAAAACAATTAAGATTATGCCAATATCAACCCAATAGATACAGGAAGAGAAAAACTTTTATCTTGCTAGGCTCAGTAATTCACAATGATGATAATTATAACTTTAAGAAAAAATGAGAGAAAAATTATGACAGATTTAGGTCAGACATTAAAATGTAGAAACAAAGGTATATTGTCAAGGCATTGTTTCCTTTCCTTTTTTTTGACCATGTATTGTTCAAGAGAAAGCTGTCTATAGACCATGGAGACTATATAAGAAATAGAAGGTAACTGGCTTCTTCAGTGATGTGGCTAGGAAAATTCTTTATAGGCTTTTTTCATACATAAATGATGGTGCAATGTTGCTTTTAAGAACAAACCCATATGTATCACTGGCTATAAAATTTTTAATTTAATTTTTAAAACTAAAAAACACTTTAGATAGTATTTTTTAAAATACTAACTTACAATGTTCAACTCTAGTTCTATAACTCATATTAAAATTTTTGTGGAGAAATCCTGTGTGCACTAACATTTATATTTTAATATTTTCTACCTGGAAATAAAACTTCTTACACTTTTTAGACACTTTTATTTTGAAGATGTTTTGCTTTATAAAGCTGATTATATACATTATCTTGTTTTATTCTCATTCCAGAAAATGCTTGCAGTAATAAACGTCTTGACCTTGTGTTCATCATTGATAGCTCTCGGAGTGTTCGCCCTTACGACTTTGAAAAAGTGAAAGAATTTATCTTAACCATCCTGCAGTTTTTGGACATTAGTCCCGATAACACTAGAGTGGGATTAATCCAATATGCCAGCACAGTCAAAAATGAATTTTCACTGAAGACTTTTAAGAAGAAACAGGATGTAGAGAGAGCAGTGAAAAGGATGATGTATCTTGCCACTGGAACCATGACAGGATTAGCTATTCAGTATGCAATGAACATTGCATTTTCAGAATCTGAAGGGGCTCGGCCACTCAGAGAGAATGTACCTAGAGTTATCATGATAGTGACAGATGGGAGACCACAGGATCCAGTTGCAGAAATTGCAGCAAAAACCCGAAATTCAGGAATCCTAATATTTGCTATTGGAGTGGGAAGGGTAGATATGAACACACTAAAGTCAATCGGGAGTGAACCTTATGAAGAACATGTTTTTCTGGTTGCAAACTTCAGCCAAATTGAATCACTGACTTCTGTGTTCCAAACTAAAATCTGTGGTAAGGTATTAAATATATATTTAAAAGGCTGTGTTAGACATACTGATTTGGGAACTGCTTCCTGTCCCACAAGGCGGGGCACAAGGCGGACAAAGAGGCAGGGAGGAGATAGGCAGGTAAGGAGAGTTGAAAGCAGTCCCTTACTTTATTGAGGCTTGGGATTGGAAGGGACCAGGCCTGGAATGGCTTGGATTGCGATGGGTCCTCAGTTAACAATGGCAATGGGGATTTTAAGGATTGCAGTTGCTAAGAGGTGTGGTCATGTGATATCTCTCTCTACAACTGCATCACTTAGTGACCAAAATTCTGATCCTAGTTGTGGTTGTAAATTGAACTATCTGTAGAAAAAGGATTATAAAGTGATGAGATTACAGGAAGAAAAGTCAACATGAATGGAATGAAAACCATAAATTGGTGTTTAATTAAAAAAAACATTTAGTGCATGGAATTGGGAAACATATCTATATATATTAAAAAATGGCTCTGTGTGTGTGTGTGTGTTCCAGCATAATTCTGGAACACCTCGAGCAATTTCAACCAAACTTGGTACACAGATGTCTTACTCTCTGGAAAAAAATACTGTGGGGGTAAGACACTCCTAACACCCCTTGGGGTGGGGGTGTCTGTGTGTACATGTTCCAGCATAACTCTGGAACACCTGGGCTGCTGAAATGAAAAGGAATGAATTATATCTCTAGTGTCAAATCACAGTACTTTTGACAGTGAAAGTGTGCATTTTGGATTCAAGTTCTGTTAAGATACAGCCTGCTGTGCCTTAAAATGGCTTCTACTGTACAGCACAGTGGAGTTGCTATGATAACGGCTTCACTGTACTCCACAAGGGGCTGCCTCTGGTAAGGGGGATTGGTTCTTAAAACAAACAACAACACCCTAGGCCCTCAGCTTCAAGCAAAGAGGGCAAGTTGTCGGGGGAGGTGCCTGCTAATGCAGATAATAACCTCAAAGGCTGTTCCCTGTAGAATTTTTCCCAGGCTGTTTACCAGGACAATTATGTCTTAATTAAAACCCTGTAAATAAAATTACTTTAATTTCACACTATAGATATAATTCATTCCTTTTCCTGTCTAATACAGGATTGGGATAAATAACTACATGGGCAATGCCGGGTTATCAGCTAGTTTATAATAAATTAAGCAAAATTAAGAAGTATAAAATAAGTTTTGATGCATGTTTTATCACTTTAACATGAACATTTTCTGTTCTGTTGATATTTTGGGGAGACATTCTTATGTGTTCATAAATTAGATTTTTAAGTCACTTTTTGTGCTAAATTATGTATTGCTTTTTTCCCCCAGTCCAGCATATGTGTAGTATAGCTCAACATGGTTGTGACCATTTCTGCATCAACATTCCTGGCTCTTATGTATGTAAATGTAAACATGGATATATTCTGGACTTAGATCGGAGAAGCTGTAGCAGTGAGTTTCATGTATTACTTCTTTTATAGCTCAATATCTTATAAATAGAACTTATGGTGGGAAGATGCAACACTTTGACCCAAGGACTGCATCTCTTGCAGATTAGAGGTGTGCAAATATACCCAATCACATATAATATACACACTATAAAACAGTTCATAATCACAAGATTCACACACATTTCCACTCTTTCCAACACATATGCTTCCAATTACCAGTTTCCACCTGTGATTTTGAGCAACATTAATGAGTGAAAATAGAAAGTATTCTACCTTGTCTCCTAATCAGTTTTATAATCTTTATGGAGTAGTACCATATTTATCACTATCAAAAATATGATGTCTACTTTGGCAAAGTGTTTAATGCAGATGAACATGGAAAGTTGGGCATTCTGTGGCCCTTGAAATGTTGCTGAACAACTGCATTCTTTATTATTACTATGGATTGGAGCTAATGGGAATTGACATTCAGCAACAATGGAAGAGTAGCAGATTTCCCTACACAGATTTTTTTTACAGGAATTTTTATAGGTAGAAAATCTTTATTACCTACCTTAGAAATTACAATAGATTTATATATTTGTTGTGTGCACTAACAGTTGAAAGTATTGACAAAATTTCACAGGGCAGAATTACTTATTGCAGAAACATATTAGGCATACAATCGATATAACCATCAAGGTTTCTCCTTCAGTAATGTCTAATAAAATGTATCTCATGTCTTTTTTCTTGTTCTACATTACTGACTGCTTAGCAGCAATGCTGCAGTATGTATTAGAGAGTTGGCTTTAAGATCAGTGTTCTTTGTCCAGTATGAATTCAAGAGCATTGTGCACGTTTTATGTTACGTCTTGAATTAAGTTTTTTTTTGTAGGCAAATGTTTAACTCAGTTCTTTTCCTCTTTCTTCCCCAATTTTCATGCTCCTTTCAGCATTTGTTATTTTCTCTAAATTCTCTACTCTCTACTCTAAATTCACATGTATTTTGATATATAATTCTAAATATCATATAATACCTATCACTGATGATTATATATAAGATGTAAATATATCTAAACTATAAATTTATAGTTTAAATAACTACAGTATACTGTACATGTGTTTGTAAAACAGCACTACAGCTGTTTTCTTTCCTCTCGCCATTCTTGGATCCAATTAAACTATACTAATACTGAAATCTGAGACTGCAATCCAGTTATCTATGATGAAATCCAAACAAACTCAGTAGGGTTTCCTGTTTAGTAGATTTGTATAGGATAAAGCCGTAAATAAATGAAACTATACTGTATACAGAACAGTAGGCTAAATATTGATAGTACAGTGTTGCAGTTTCTTCCAATGGTAATGTTCTGAAGCTTATCCTTGCCTAGTGAATATTATTAGAGATGGCTTTGCAGCTAATTAGTTAATTTAATTTGCAGCTGACAGACAAATGAAACAGTAAAGTCTAAGAATTTTATTTAATTTTTATTCATCTTTGCTTTGAACATTTTTAATCTTGCTTTGCTTTATAATGAACATTCAGTATTTTAAATAATCTTGGTCTGCCATTCAGTTTAAAAAATAATCCCAATCCCAGTTTGTGGTAACATCTGTATTTTGAAACAGTATTCTTTCCAGTTTCTTCCCATCTGGTATTTCACTCTAAAACAGGGGCAACCTTAACATTTAGGCAAGCTTGTTTTGTTACAGTTGATTTTCTCCAATTCCTCTGCTTAATCTTTGCAGTTGCATTTTGTGCTTCCTTGCATGTCTGTATTTGTATTCTGTACTTCTGTCAGTTGACCAAAGTGCAATTGTGAAATGCAGTCTTATAATGAAGTTGTTTTCAGGCTTTTTGCATTTGAAAAGCCAACCCTACATAAACTTAACTAATCAGCAATTCCTGTAGAGGCAGAAGACAAAAACATTTGCTACTGTGACACTGGCTTTGTCAGAGCAACTGAGAATTAAATCCAAAGTGCTGTCATATGAAGAGATTTTGGGATCAGTGTTCATAATAGATGATACAATGTAATTCTAGATATTCTAGAATGTAATTCTAGCTATAATTTTAGATATAAATAATTCATACCAAATTCTTGCTATGGAGCAAAAATGTATACAAAGACTTTGGCTTTAAACCAGCTGATTATCTGATTATAATATTTGCTGCAGATGGACAGAAATAATTAAGGGGTATTCCAACAGACATAAAAAGGATTCTGTACAACAAAACATACAAAAACATGCTTATGTCCAGTGTTTCCTTTCCGGAATAAAATGTTGCCACTCTAATTTAATCCAGAAGCTAAAAGACTTATATTTATATATTATATACTAATATTATATATTTCTTATTCTTTAATTATACTTTCTTAAACTCTCCTGGATATCTGAATGCCAAAACAGAATGCAAATAATTACTAATTTCTTGCTTCATATAATAATATTTTATCATTTTTATAACATTTCTAGTCCAGGATCTATGTGAGACTGAAAAGCATGAATGTGAACACATATGTGTAAATACACCTGGATCCTATGTCTGCCAATGTTATGATGGCTATGAACTTGAAGAAGATGGGAAGAATTGTTTTAGTATGTATTTGTTTTCAATTGCACTAATTCATAAAGTAGTTGATGATTTCTGTTATTGCCCCTATATAATCCTGTATTTGCTGCAGAATTATTTGCTGCATTCAAAGATTTCTGGTGAGAATGTTGACTTCTTGCTTTAACATAGTAGGTTGTTTATATTATATAAAACATTTATATGAATGTCATTGAATGTTTCCTCAGTTTCAGAATAGCTTAAAATGGAATAGCATAGTTCAGAGAACGAAAAAGAATGAGACAAAGATGCCTGCTTTCCTTATATTTGTTTAACTTCTACAATGAATATTTTATAAGAATGGCAGGATTGGAAGAGATGATACTAGGAATCAAAATATGAAGCTAAAATAATAGAGATATGCCAATCCTATCTCTTCCCTCATATCCTCTATGCACAGTTTTGTTTTTGTTTTTCCCCCTCTGCCTTTCCCAGCGTAGCTTTATCTTCCTTTTGCCTCATTTTCTTATTTTTTTCTGCTGTTTCTGGAAAGAGAGTTGCAGGAGGAGAGAGAGAATGGATGTAGTCATGTATACTTCTGTGTTTCTGTACTTATTCATTCAATGAATATATTTTTGTCCCACCCTGCTCCTTTTAAGAGTGTGGTTTCTGGCAGGTATAATACACACATGCATATATGCACATGTAATATGCTCTATACACACATTTACTGAGAAGGGAAAAAACCCTTCCCATTTCCAACCCATTTTATCCCTTAATTTGAAGTAGAGTCGGGATGACTGGTTGGAATTCAGCATTTACTGGCCGGTTAGCAATAGCACTTAAATTTGTATACCGCTTTACAGTTCTTTCCAGCCCTCTCTAAGTGGTTTACAGAGTCAACATATTGCTCCCAACAATCTGGGTCCTCATTTGACCAACCTTGGAAGAATGGAAGGGTGAATCAACCTTGAGCCAGTAACAATCGAACTGCTGGCAGTCAGCAGAATTAGCCTGCAATACTGCATTCTAGCCACTGTGCCATCATGACACCACCCTGCGTGGCAGCAGGATGCCTTCCTGACATCACACAGTTCGCAACAGATATTTTTTCTTTGCGTCCTAGGAGAAAAATATTTGTCATTACCTAGGATTGAACTCTTAACATTCCAAGTGGTAGGCGAACATTTTCGCCACCATGCCGCTCAATTTATTGTGGAGGGAAAAACCTCCAAGAATTATTTCAGCAGAAGTTGACAAATTTAAAGTATGAAGCAAGGCACTGCATAGGACTTTTTTCTTTATTATAATTAAACTCTTTCTCTATTCTTCCTATTTTGCTGTTATTAATTGCTTACTTGGAGGCAGAAATAGTGATATATTTTCTATTAAATAAGTCTATAAAAATGAAGTACACAGATTTGTTTAAAAATTGCATTACAATTTGCTATTTGTATTATTTCAAACTTATTTCTGTGATATATGCTTCCCTATTGATTGGAGCTTTATTACTGAAACTAATCAATGAATTATATCTTAAGATGCGGTGATGATTATAAAAGATTTGTATTAATATTGCATCTCATGAGGCAATTAAAAAGGAATGTTGTTTAAGAGAAATTTGATTTGATTTGTAATTTCTAGTAAATAATCCACATTTCTTCTGCTTGGGTATAACACAACAAGCTTGACATAAGAAACTGATGAAAAGCTTCCAAATATTGTTCAGTATCAAATGCTGCTGCTTTTGTGTCAGAAGCACTAAGACACTTCTGTATTGAAAGGATTACATGGTGATATCACTGTTGCCCGGGGAAGCCCGGTTGGGGGCTCCTTTCATGTCCCTGTTAATTGCCCACCAAAGTAGTACTGTACCTATTTATCTATTCACGATTATGCTTTTGAACTGCTAGGTGGGCAGGAGCTGGAGCGAATGACAGAGCTCACCCCATCATATAGCAGCACTCAGGTTTCAAACACAGGCTTGCAGTGTTTTATTCAATTGAGCCGCCACACTCTGTACTCTACGTTGTTTTGTGAAATGATGTAGGGAACTTTAATACTTAATTCTATTTTTTCTGTAATGTCATATTCTGATTTGTTAAGAATGAGTAATTTCAGTTCCATTAATTGCAATAAGATTATTTTAAATCAAAATTCAGACCACACAATATATGCCTTTATAGATTTCCAGTAGTGAGCTTATCTATGGCTCCATTTTTTTTTATTGTTGCATTTATCTGTTTAACAGAGTAGCAAATTTACTGGGCTATATGGACTTCAAACATACACTTACAGTAGTTTTATTGTAGTTACAACAATCCATTATAGATTGGTAACATGTGATAAGACTGTACTTTTAGCTGAAGAGTTGCATTTACCCAAGTATGTTTTGGAATAGGCTGTTTAAACTCTTAATAATGACAATAATAGGAATATGGACACATTTATAAATAACAATGCTTTTTTATGCCACTGAAATTTGTATAGAACTCAGCAGTAGGTGAAGAATTAGGAAATATCAACATTATATGCATTCAATTTTAAAGTTTTGTATCAAAGTAACTTGTCTTAAATTTGGTCTTGCTTGTGTTTCAGTTGTGGACTATTGTGCTTTAAATAACCAAGGCTGTCAACATGAATGTATCAATACTGAAGATTCTTATTATTGCCAGTGCCATATTGGGTTTGTTCTAAATCCAGACAAAAAAACTTGCAAACGTAAGTTATCCACATCTCGATTCTTCTATTTAATCCTTCAAAAGTTTAAAAAAACCTAATATCAACTAGCAACGTCCTATCAGAAGGAAATTCAAAGAATGTATGTTGCCTTAAGGAAAAGACAAAAAGATTTGACCCAATATCTTTTATACAAAGAGCAGACAGACTGATGGTCAATGAGATGACATGCAATAAATCCATAAACCCATATGTACATTACTTTACATTGTGATCAATATACCATAAAATGCTGAAGGGTCAGTTTTTGAATAAGACACCTCTTAAGAATGCTGAGGCATGGTTGGAGTATGGAGGGGGGGGATGAAACACACATTCCTATGTTTCTAGGAATGCCTGTAAATTTTATATTATGTAATTTTTATATGAAGAACATGTTCTACCTCCAAATCTCCAAAGATAAAAAGTGCTCACTAAAACCAAGGTGCTAATCTTCATTACATTCTGTATATTTGGTACTTTCCAGTACTGTTCTTCTAAGAGTTTATTCTCAATCTTCAGGACCAGACCATTGTGCTTTGAAAAATCATGACTGTCAGCAGAAATGTGTCAATACAGATGAATCCTACTTTTGCCAATGCAACCAAGGATTTACTCTTAATCCGGATAAGAGAACGTGCAAAAGTATGTTGCCCTAAAAGTGTATAGTAAGTTCATCTGCTTTTATTTATCAACATTTCTGTTATAACATATACTTTATAATCTCTTCAATTATAACTTTAGAACATGCCTATGAAACTTCCTCCTCTCTACATTTCTTTATGTTCAAATAGTCATTCCTATGTACAGACAATGTTTATTCATTCAAGTACATGTGTATATACTTTTTTATTTTGTCAAAAGCTGTGTGCCAGATAGAGTATAACATGTGCATAAAAAGTCTTCCTAAGGAACAATTCCCATTTCTCTTGGAGTTCTATCTAAGCCCAAATCTAAACTCTTTTAGGGGAAAAATAAGTGTGATAGGCAAAGTCTAGATGATTAGAACAGATCATTTACATTTACATTTTTACATTTCTTAAATAGGAAACTGATGCAACACCATGTAAATAAAGCAGATTACCAGAAATGTCACAGATTTATATTAAATTGAAAACTCTAGCAGGATGGTGGGAACTGGGGTCTTAAGACTATCTGTGACCCTTAGCCTAATTTCTTAAGCAATTAAAGCTCTCAGAAGAATTAACTATTCATTTTCTGCCTATTTGCTTTTTAGAGAGAGAGAATTGAGTATCAAACTCAAGTGAGATTAAAAACAAGTATCTGAGGAAGAAAGTCTTAGAAAGATTAAGTCCCATTTATTATTTGCTATAGACCTGTTCATCATTTAAATTTAAATGTTTCTTGAGACAGATTACTCCTGAGAAAGTGCTCTCAATAGATAAAAAATGCCTGCTCTTTTCTGTACCATATAAAAGCATTCCAAATTAAAATTTGGTTCAGTGCTGAATGGAGACCAGAAGCATATAATTATCTAATATTTTATACCCAAATATTTTCATAATCTATCTTAATTTTAAAAAAAAGAATTACACTGTTCTAATGCCTTATGTAAACAAAACCAAGGCAACTGCTACCCTTTTTTAGTACTAAATCCAATATAGGCTTATCCAAGGTAGATTAGAGTAATGGATTTCCCAAGCCAAGTCATTTGGGACAATTAAAAAGCAGTTGTGGCCACTAAGGGCCTGAAGCAGGGCTGTCATCATGCCAATAGGCCTTATCACTAGCTGTGAGTCTCTGCAATTATTCAAGTTAACTGTACAGTGCCAGGCCTGCCAACCTCAGTAAAAAACTCAATTTGAAAGCCAGTCCTAAAATTTAAATACCAGTCCCCAAAGTTTTGGAAACTCTAGTCCTCTTGATGCATCTTCTTGCACAAACACAACTTCCTTCAAGAATCTCAGGTATTTTTAATTTCAGTTTTGCTTTCTGGGAACATAAATGAAAGGTGAAGTTTTTAATAGCTATATATGCTGATCATTAATCACTGTTTTAAAAATTACATTATTTTCCAGCATTTTTATCTGACATGTTTATTGGTTTTTTGTTTCCATAGGAATAAATATCTGCAGTTTAGGTAAACATGGCTGCCAGCATGAATGTGTTAGCACTGAAGAATCATATATGTGCAAATGTCAAACTGGATACATTCTAAACCATGATGGTAAAACATGCAGAAGTAAGTTAGATTATTTTGAAAGAGTAAATTGGCGTATCAGAATTTTTATATGAATAGATGTCTCTTAATAATATGTTGGCAATAGCAATATTATGCCTTTAAAATTAACTTATTAAGTGACTTAATAAGTTTGCTTATTCCACAAATAACAGATTTGCCACAAAGCTCAAAAAAGAACAAATAAATGCTAGGAACCTTATCTTTATTTTTCAAATATAGATGGTTGTCAAAATAGTGAGAATGCCTACAACTTTTTTGGTTATTTATGGATGTTTACATTTAATTTTTGGGATATCTCTGATACATAAAACTCTCTTGGTTCATGTTTGCAATTTTATAAATTACTGGTAAGAAAGCTTTTTGTGACAGATGCTGCTACCTGTAGAAGAGAAAATATAAAAACTATTTTGTATCTGATTCTGTTTCTGAAGTTTTCATAGCTGGATATTTTATAGCCTGAAAATTCAAATGTTTTCTCTTTTACTGCTCAACATAACAATTCAGGAATAGATCATTGTGCTGAGTTCAATCATGGGTGTGAACAGCTCTGTCTAAATACCAGAGAATCCTACATTTGCCAGTGCTCTGAAGGATTCATCATTAATGAGGATCTGAAAACTTGTTCACGTAAGTTTCTTGCACAAGATATTCTATAAAATTAAACAAAATAATGCTTAGATTGTTTTCCATAATTTCTAGCAAAGCTTTATTCAAGTAGAATTTCACGTTAATCAGCAGTGATTGGATTAAATGGTCAAAGAAAGCATGTGCTTTGGCAAACTACTCAGAAAAGCAAAGGAACTGAGACATAGGGAGAGAGATTTTACACAAAATGTGATTCCATTAAGAAAACACAGCAGTAAATTTCAGTTTCATAGAAGTAAAAAAAAAGAAAACAAATAGAAATAAAAAAGAGGAAGAGTGTATTTCAAAACAAAGAGAAGAAGTGATACTATTCTCTTTTGAATTATTGTAAGAAGGCCTTGTCACAAGTGTCAGTAAGTGCAGCTACTTGTGGAAGTTTAAGCATATGTAACTCAAGTGATATACTGTACATACTAAATCGATAAAGAAATATGCACAGCTAAATATATCCTCACCAGCTGCCACTGCCTAGATGAGCAAGGATTAACATCAGATAAAAAAGCACAAAACAGTATCCAAATCAAGGTTCTACCAAGGCAAAAACTACACCCCAAACAATGGGAGGGCAAGCTAGTGTACATATGCAGGGAGCAAATGCCACACTCACTAGCACTGATGATTTTACTTAATCACGTAATGAATTGTCTGCAAGCAAACAACCATACTCAGAGAGCACCAATGACTCCACATGTCTACTACTCATTGAGAAACATTTCAGTTTTTTAAAGATACCATTGTTTCATTGATTCATCAAACAATTGATTATTAAAACAATCCATTTCATTGGTAAAGATTTCTTAAAGCTAGTTTTTCCTAAAATATGAGATATGCCAAGAAATGTCTTCATGTCACCTCTGTCTATCCTCAGACAGGGTTTGGCACTTACATATAATATAGTATATTTTATATAGTAAATCAGGTTAAAGATTTGAAATATTATTCAATCTTTATTCCATTTATCTTGCCTCCAGTTTCTTTTTCTTGTTCCTCTAATTTCTTTATATCTTTTAAAAATTATATACCCCCTTAGGGATACCCCCATAGGGATGGGGTAGGGACCCAGTCCATCACTCATCATGGTAACGTATTAGGACAGGCACTCCTATATCTAGTGGGCTCACCTCACTACTCCAATGACTGGAGTAGTTTAAAGAAACACCGCTTGCCCCTTTTTCACCTGGTTTTGGGCACAGGTGAAATTAAAAGAAAAAAAACTTGCTACAGAATAATTTGTTTTCTTTTGTCTTCTCTAGGAATTTGTCTCTTTTTTGAACCAGGAAACGATAAAGAAACCTTCAATAACAGTTTAAGAGGAAATAGTTCACAGAACAATTACTTTAGCCCCAAATAAACCAGGGCTGTTTGTGGCTAGAATAAAGAAATATCATCACACACACCCAACTCCCATTCCCACTCCAATCAGTTGTCTGAATTGTTCACATAACAAATAGTGACAATTAAACCCAACAATTTTTTAAACAGCATATTATAGAGTATGTACCTATATAAATTAATTAATTATGCTTAAACTGGTTCTCAGGAGCAGATTATTGTTTGCTGAATGACCATGGCTGCGAACATTTATGTGCGAACACTGGAACATCTTACATTTGCCAGTGCATTGAAGGATATGTGCTTCAGAGTGATGGGAAAGCCTGCAAACGTAAGCTTGATTTTAGTTGAATTTTTTCTGTATCTTTTTGCCCTTAAATATGTATTGCACAAAATAAATTAATAAACTTGTAGCATGGCTGAATTTGCACAGTAAAAGTCTGAAAGTTTCAAACATACTCTCCAGTGGTGGGTTGCCCCCGGTTCGCACTGGTTCTATAGAACCGGTAGTAAAACCGGCGGGAGGCCCCACCCACCGACCCCGACGTCATCAAAACACTTCTGCGCATGTGCAGAAGAGCGCGCCTGTGGCCCCGCTTCAAGCCAATAGTAAAGATAAGTAGAACCCACCCCTGATACTCTCCCAGAATACCACTGAGAATACTCATCCTTGTCCCACCTCCTACTCTGTACTTCGAAATTGCTTGATAATTACCACTGCTGCCATCTATAAAATCTTCTGGGGGTGCCATACTGGCACCCTGTCCCTATTCTCAGTGTGTGTATCAATATATCTCAAACTGATAAAATGGCAGTGAAAAAATAAAAATAAGAAAAAGAAAGAAAGAAAGAAATGAAGATAAGTAACTAGAAATACCAGCTCTTCAATTTATTTACATCACAGATAAATAGAATCAAACTTTATTTTTAAAAAGTGAATGTCTTTTAAAAAATCCAATCACCAAGGAAAAGAAAGGTTTTTAAAGCATATGCAATGTTCCAGTTTGACCTGTAGATGGTACTGGTCCCCTGAAGACTAATTTACTATCCCATAGACGCCATAAAAAAGAGATGGATTATAAATGTAAGAAATTAAAAACCCTCATGCAAAACCTGAAGATACGCATAAAAGACTACCTGAAATACACAGATTTCCTGACCTTGAAGATTGAGATATTACAAAAGACAACAAAGATTAACTAACAATAGCAAAAATGTCTAATACAGGTTTCTGGCTGAAATGTTCACATTCATAAAAATAAATAGGATTCTTAGAACAAGTATTTTTATTGCTTTTCTTTATGTGGATTTTCCTTTTTTCCTGGAAATTTGAAATGGTTGATTCTGAGGCCTTGAAAAAATGTGAAATCCCAGTTTCTGCCTTTGGCGAACAATTTCTTTCTTTGTTTCAAATGGACTCAAATCTCCTAAATTCAACAAAGTGAAGAGCTTGGAAAAATTGGTTTTGAATGTGACCAAGAACACATATCTGTACTTGTAAAGGTTGATAGAACCTCTGAGCCTGTCTGGCATGGAAATGTGTTGACTGTGAATGTCAGTGTGGCCTGTCATTCATTAAAAAACTGTAGTTATTAAATAACTACACCCCCTATATAAATCAAATAGTATCTTATTGGCAGGAAATAGATGCTGACTTGGCTAAGGTTTTGTTTTGTTTTGCTTTGCTTTGTTTTTTTAAGATTTGTGAACTAAGACAAGGAATAAAAATAGGGATTATGAGGTAGGAGCTGTTGGGAAGCAGAGCAATGCATGTTTATTTTAACATTTATTTTTTGTCAATTTAAAACATTGCATTGTCAATTGTTTTTAGGTACAGATCTTTGTAAGCTGGTGGACCATGGATGTGAGCAACTTTGTGACAGTGATGGTGAATCATATGTCTGCAAGTGTCATGAAGGATTCAAACTAAACAAGGATAGAAGAACCTGCAGAAGTAAGCAAACATCCCTGAAGATAATTTATCATGCTAAAAAAGGAATGAATAATCAACATCATTGATTAGGTTTCATGTCCCTAAAGAAGTCTATTTCACAGTTGAACAATCTTTTACCAAAAATATTAAAGTCCAATCAAAATCTATTTATTTATTTATTTATTGGTTCGATTTATATGCCGCCCTTCTCTAGAGACTCAGGGCGGCTTACAATGCGTTAAGCAATAGCCTTCATACTTTTGTATATACCTGCTTAGTAGGGCTTTCGCCCCCCCCCAAGCAGTATTCTTTTTTATACAAAGTCAGCTTATTGCCCCCACAATCCGGGTCCTCATTTTACCTACCTCGAAAGGATGGAAGGCTGAGTCAACCTTGAGTCTGGTGAGATTTGAACTCGCAGTAATTGCAGGCAGCTGGCAGCTAAGTGCTACTTAACAGCACTTTAGTCCGCTGCACCACCAAGGCTCATCCTTCCTTAGGATTTAAATCCATCTTTTCCTTATCTGTCTTCTAGACTAACTCTGAACAATTTTTGTCATCTTATGCATGACATCCCTTCAAGAACTTGAAGAAGCTTACCATATTTTCTTACAGGCTTCTCTTCACCAAGCTAAACATACTCCAGGGTTTCCAAGCTTTTCTCATTAATTTTTCCTTACAGGCCCTTCATCATTTTGGTTGTTCACCTCTGGACACTTTCAGTTTGTTAATATCTTTGTAATGTCTAGAATTTGATATCATATTGTAGGTACAATATGTAGGTACATAATATTATAATACAATATTTTAAGTGTATTCTGATCAACACAGTATGTAGAGGAAAATATTTTTATCTCTTCTAAATGCTTACAAAATGACTGCTTAATTATTTATTTGGTAGCAGAAGTTTTGTTCAGTATCAGCAATAAGCCAATTTGCCTGTAGTTACCCAAATCCATTTTCCCCCTTTTTGAAGAAAGCAACAAGATTTGCCTTTCTCTATGACATTACATACCTCTGTGATTGCTCAAAGATCACAGAAAAGGGCTATTAATTATCTATTGTAATTCCTTTAGGACAGATATTAATCTGGTCTACGAATTTTAATCTCATTTGTGGTAGTTGAGTGCTCCCTAAATGTCTCATTATTTGCTTTCACTTGCTTATTTTCTCTTTGTGTCAGTTGTTCTACTTAGCTTTATTTGAACACTTTCTCTTTTGGGAGGAGAACAAAGCAAAGAGTTGAGGAGCTTTGTTATTATCTCCTTACCTGTTGTATTACCATCTTCTACAGGTGACTGCATTGCTTCCTTTTTCTTCTTTTTACTATAGATAATAGCAAAAAACTGAAAACCACCCTTGTTTAGCTTTGCTTGCAAGCCTAAATTCCTTTTGTAGTTTTAAACTTTTCTGGGGATATAAGCTACTTGCTGGTTTGCTTCCCTGGTGATTACACCCCTCTTCCATTTCCTTTGCTTGACTCTTTTGACTTACATAGGTCAAATGTTTCCTGTCCCTCTGTATTTCCTGTTTTCCATCCCATGTTTTTCCCATTAACATGATATATGATTATACTTTCAATATCTTATTTTTGAGAAATTTCCAAACCTTCCATGGCTTCCTTTGATCTGACAATTTCTGTCCCCAATACTGGGCCTCATATCTCTCTAAACTTGTAGAAATTGACTTTCTTGAAATTCAGCTTGCATATACAGGTAAGAAGTTACGTATTATAGAAAATAATACTTTTAGTATATCATATCTTTAGAAAGTTTTTACAAGAAATCTCTTTGATTGTACCCAGATCAAGATGTCTGCAAGTCCATTGACCATGGGTGTGAACATATCTGTGTTAATATTAATGATTCATATGCCTGTGAATGCCATGAAGGATTTATTTTATGGAATGATGGGAAAACATGCAAAAGTAAGTAATTTATATCTATCACCCTCATTATTATTTATTTTATTATTGGAAGAAGTCTCTCTCAAAAGAGATCCTGACCATGTTCAGACATTATATTAAACTACAGTTCAGTGCACACCTGTGCAACTTTTAAGGAGAAAAAGAACTGCATTTGATATTTGAGTAATATTTTAAGAACTCTAGTCCCAAAAATAAGTAAAGCTGGAAAAAAAACAATACTAGGACTAAGTTAGAAACTGAACGCGATTTTAATGAAATTAGAATTAAATTACAGTAAGGTAATTTCAATTAATTTAGAACTACTTAACATAGTTGTTATTGTATTTAATTAGTTTGCACTACCCATTCTTTCAAAAGGAGCCCAAATAGCAATTGGTGAGATGTGTCAGTGAAAGGATTGCATCTTGAAGCACCAGAGATTTCTCTCTGCTACTTTATGAATAAGTCTTCACTAGTGGCTAATGTATGAATGTGATAAATCCTTAAGTTGGAGAAATAGATTCTTTTGCTGACAATATTCCATTATTTCATTTGTTCATTTTATTTTAACAGGATGTAATGAAGGCCCAATTGATCTGGTATTTGTGATAGATGGATCAAAAAGTCTAGGAGAAAATAACTTTGAAATTGTCAAGGAATTTGTCTTGGGAATTTTGGACTCTCTTACAATATCTCCCAAAGCTGCACATATTGGTTTGTTGCAATATTCCAGCCATGTTCGCACAGAATTCACACTGAAACAATTCAACACAGCCAAAGATATGAAGAAAGCAGTGACACAAATGAAATACATGGGGAAAGGCTCCATGACCGGGCTTGCGCTGAAACAGATGACTGAGAGAAGCTTTACTGAAGCAGAGGGAGCCAGGCGCATCTCAGCAAATATTCCCAGGGTGTCAGTTGTGTTTACAGATGGACGTGCCCAAGATGATGCTTCTGAATGGGCAGCTAAAGCAAAACAAAGTGGTAGATTAATATTTATTAGAAGTGTAAACAGTAAAAGAAATACAAAAGAAAGCAGCAAAAGTAATGCTGCTATTACTAAGTTACAGTATATACTGTACGGTATCTTTTTTTAAATCTAGAGCTTTTTATTAACTTCTAGAAGGATTCTGGAGAATCTCTAGGAATGAAATACATACTCCTTGTTTGATGTTAAGGAAGGTTTGGAAATCTTACACTGGACTCAATATAAATTTTCAGTTTCCAAAGCCACATTTCCGGGGAATTCTGGCAGTTTTAATCCAAATGTATTTAGAGGAAATTAACTTGCAGAATACAGTGATCTATAACAACTAATTCAGATAAATATTATAAGCATGAGCACTTATGAATAAATTTGTCCATAGAATGCCAGTCTAAATGAATTTATTTACATTTGTGACTCCCCTATGATTCTGCAATCATAGTAACAATAATAGGCAATGACTAAATACATATTTTTACATCAAAGCAATTAGATGTAATCAACTTTGTAAGAAACTTGAGGGGCACTATATTTTGGTTTTGATCATGATAAATGAAAATAATAGGGCTTAGCTTAATCAGAATTAATTTGCCCAATTAATTTCTATTATATTAAATGTAACTTGCTTCATCTGAATTAGAACTCTTGCATTTTATTGTTGCTTTTGAAATGCTCTCTGTAGATAAATTTTTGAATACAAATCTTTTCTATTAATTAATAGTGCTTAAATGCTATATTTCAATCTTGAACTATATTATGAAATTTGTTTCATTTTTAGGAATCACTATATATGCTGTTGGAATAGGGAAATCGATTGAGGAAGAATTACGAGCAATTGCTTCTGAACCTGTTGAAAAACATATTTTTTATGCTGAGGAATTTAAGGCCATGGAAGAGATCACTGAAAAACTGCAGAAAAGAATCTGTGAAGGTACTAACTAAGCACGAAATGATATTCTAAACAAGAAACAATATAAAACTAACACAGATAGAAATTTAGGAGTCCATTGGATTTGGACGACTAAGACATTAAAATAAATAAATCTGCCCATTCCTTCTGAGCATCTGCATAACTGCTGGAATATATGTAAAACACAATCAGCAATACACTAGTAGGACGAATAATATTTCTGTAATCTATCACTTAAAAAGTGTATAGCTTTATTTTAAGGCCAAAGTCATAAATTAAAGTATCTACTACTTTAGTCACTTTAACAAAAATGACATGTACAGTTCAAAACTCCACAAAAATCCTTCCCTTTTTACACACTGCATTATGATATATTGCTAAAAACTATCTAGGACTATTTGTAAAATAATGTGGGATGGATATTCGTTAATGTAAAGGAACTTTCCATTTGTGGTAGTCTCTGTGTTCTCACAATGCCATCCTTGGACTGAAAAAGAAAAAGACTCATTTGCTTACTTTTTCACTTGATGGATATCTGTGGCTTATTAGATTTCAGCATCCATCATCTCTGATCTTTGGTCATTCAGGCTGGAGCTAATGGGAGACAGTCCAACTCCATGCACCTCTTCTTATTCAATAAATATTAGATTAATGGACTCTCTGGTCCTTCTGATTATTTCCTGTGTGCTTCCAAAGAATCATGAGGAGCATTTTTAAAAAGGGTTTTGTTACATATTTTCCATAAAGCTCTATGATCCTCGAAACATTTCCCAATATCTAAGATTATAAAATCAATATAAATGACCCAATTCACATCTGAATAGCTAAACATAATCAGTAACAAGCAAACTATGCCTAATTTTATTTATATTCAAAAGTTATTCTAACAACTTAATTTTTAAATTACAAAATCTGTTGTGGTATCTGGCTTGTTTGTAGTTGACTATCACAATCTGACTGCAATAAGTCCTATTTTATTTCATTTTGTCAACATTTTTTCTAGATCTAAAGAATTACCAGGAAACAACAAATCGGCTTCATTCAATGAATTTACTTTCTGAAGGTTTGAAATTATCAGTGTGTGCATGTTGTTTTTATTCAGTTTGATTTTTTTATACTCTGCCCTTGCAAGAAGAAAAGCTGTGTCATTTTTATTGTAATAATACTTCTTAATTAGATATAGAAGGTGTAGAGAAGGTTATCAGTTTTAGTGACACCTGTGCCACATATAGTAGTTACTGATAACAGTAAAAACAGCAGCAGTTTTGCCACATTTTGGCCATATTTACCACACATGTACTAATTCTACTCTGTCCAGGTTAATATTTCTAATCCAGAAATTATTATGCAAATCTTTATATTGCTTAATATCCATCAACAGGGTGGTTCTTTTTGAAACACACACAAAGAAACCACTTCATAAGAGGATAAAATATAATCTCACTTCTGGTCTCACTGTGTTTTCCTCTGTAGAACCTGAAGCATCTACCTTAGCAATCACAGATGTTCTTTCCTGTTCCAATTTTGCTGTGCATCATAAATATCTTTTTAAAGAAAAGCAGTTATGGACAAAAGCTTCAGGTAAAATTTATTTCCATTTAGACCATCCATTACTTTGTATAGCTATAATAATTTATCTTCTGTCATATTAAACAGTTGTACTATGCATCCACTTTGATTCCCTAGGATTCTTGGGATATATGTTGTAGAAAAAGGCAGTTTCTCACTTATTATGTGTCTTTTTGTTTGCAAATATGAAACCACTGAATTTCCACTTAGTAATTTGAAACCCTTGTTTATAATTAGTCTTCTTATCTAAACCTTGAGCAATTGCATTTTTATTATAGTGGTTACCATAACTCAGTTTAAAATACATGCAATGCATTTAACTCATTTTAATGAGTCATTTTAATATCAGATGTCTCTGTTTTCCTACAGCAATTAAAAAAGACTGAGAAAGAAACTTTTCTAAAATTATTTTGTCATTTCATGAATTCCATTTTTCCAATGAGTTCAATGGACTAAAAACAAAATAAATTTTGTAGTGAATGAAAATATATTTCTTACTATTTAACTAAGTACACTCCACCTATTTTTTTTCAGCAAATCCTTCAGATGACAAGAAAAACCTATGCAAATGTGAGAATCTTACAAATTTCCAGAATTTCGCAACTACTGAATTTAGGAAACTAATTCAGCAACATATCCTTTCTGTGTATCTATTACAGTAATTCTTCATATAGATTTTCAAGTCAATATATTTGAAAATGAATTACATTTCTACAAATGTAAATACAGGCATTCAAACTTCCTCAATCAATTTTAAAGTGCTGGTCTAGTCATCTGTCCAAACATACTTTGTCCCTAAACCCAATCCTATTCCATGGTAAGGAGATTAATTAGCGGGTGTTTCCTTGCCAGCTATTAATTATATGTAATCTAATTGTGTGTGCCTTCAAATTAGTATTGACTCCTAGCTACTGCCTGGCTTCTATGTAACACAGTATTTTATCTATCTATCTATCTATCTATCTATCTATCTATCTATCTATCTATCTATCTATCTACCTACCTACCTACCTACCTACCTACCTACCTACCTACCTACCTACCATGTTTTCCCGAAAATAAGACCATGTCTTATATTTTTTTGAACCCTGAAATAAGCGCTTGGCCTTATTGCCATGCGTTCAAAAGCCCGATTGGGCTTATTATGAGGGGATGTCTTATTTTGGGGGAAACAGGATACCTACCTATCTATCACACAATTATGGTGATATAATCATCACAATTATATAGGTCCTTTAGGCGACTCACAGAACTAGTCTGCTATATGGATTAAGTACCAAGCTATAAACCAGGAGACTGAGTTCTAGGCACAAAGCCAACTCAGTGGTCTTGGGTTAGTCATTCTTTCGCAGCCTCAGGAAGGCAATAGCAAGCCATTTTCAAAGATCTTGCAAAGACAACTGCAGACTTATCTAGGCAGTTGCCAGGGATCAACGATGATTTGAAGGCACAAAGCCACAAAAAGGCAGCTTACAACAGCAGCAATTTAAATGTAAAACCAAGAATAAGAAATAGACAAAACTGCTTTAAAAAAAGCACCTACTGTAGGCTTAAATCTTAAAATCTTTTCTAGAAAAGTTCTTTTAAGAAAGTTCTGATGAGTGGCTAGGATTGAAGCCAAACATGCTTCTCATAGAAGGCTGTTCCAGAGGGGCTGGGCTAACAAAGGAAATTGGTTACTCTAACTTCTGAAAAATGGAATCACCAGGTGCTTTTCCTGGCACGATCAAACTGATCAGGGCCCATTTCAATGGAGATGAAATTGGTCTTGAAGGCTTCTGTTGCCAAGCCATAATATAAGTACTATTCTCTTAGTTATTTGAAAATTTCTTGCAGAATTTGGCTCGAGTCCAGTTGACCCCTAGATGGCAACAAAGAGCTTATTTCTTTGCAATTCACTGGATTTTTGCAGCCCAAATCTGACATTTCTAATTCTGCCCTCTGGCAAACTTTATATGGTTTATGTGCAAATGCATTACTCGTTTTCTCATATTATGTTCTTGTTCCAATATGTTGGTGTTTCAATACATAGAGGGAATTATGATGATGAATAATGCTAAATCTCAGGATTGGTTTTGCTGTCTTTTCATGAATGGCAGTACCATAAGTATTTAGCCTACTAGTACACTGTAGCTAATGCATCACTCTTTAAGAACATTAATGATGATGCTGAAGCACAAACCCACTCTAGCTGCAGTTTCAAAATACAGAATGGCAGTTTATATAATGTCGCTTGTTGTTCAGTTGGCTCCTTATGCGACCTGATGGGTATCATTAAGATTGTTGATGATTATTTCTTTAAATAAGCTCATTATTGTCATTGGCAGTATCTACCCAACATTCTGCTGGCCAATTTCAACTGCCTTTGATTCTTCCAATCATTGGAATGTTTTCCAATGATTTTTGCTGCAGTTTGGGCTCAAAGGTATATAGTGTCCATCGGCCATATTGACCTAGGGTGCCACCTACCATCTTTTTTTTTAAATTTGATTTATATACCACCCTTCTCTGGAGACTCAGGGCGGCTTACAATGCGTTAAGCATCTGTGTGAAGATTTGTATTTTTAGATTGATATGCAAGGAAGAAGCAGTATTAGCACCTCCTAAAATTTGGTGCCTTAGATTAGCCATGTCCCTAACATTACATGTCCAAGGTATTCCCAACAATTTTCTCCAGAGATCATAATTCAAAGGCATTTTGTTCCACCTTTTCTGAAGGAAAATTCAGGCTTTTAAAGCCTAATTGTGAAAATAAGAGCCTTGATAATACATATTTTTGATGTCAGTGTGAGATCCCTGTTTTATATTTTTTATTTATTTATTTTTAATTTGATTTATATGCCGCCCTTCTCCGGAGACTCAGGGCAGCTTACAATGGGTTAAGCAATAGCCTTCATACTTTTGTATATTTATACAAAGTCAGCTTATTGCCCCCACAACTGGGTCCTCATTTCACCTACCTTAGAAAGGATGGAAGGCTGAGTCAATCTTGAGCCTTGGAGAGATTCGAACTAGCAGTAAATTGCAGGCAGCTGTGTTAATAACAGGGTGCTTAGACCACTGTACTATCAAGGCTTTTTGATAGTATTTGATAGATATTTGATCCAGATCAGCCAGTCTTTCTCCCAAGTAGATGTCTATTTTATGGCTACGGACACTGTCAGACCCCGCACCGCCTCCAATGCTGGCCACCCTCCACCTGGCTGATGACGATCTTCACTAAGGCTTATTTTTGGGATAGGGCTTATATTAGGCACACTTAAAAATCAGGGTAGGGCTTATTTTGGGAAAAACACAGTACTAGCAAAAATTGCTGGCCTAAATATTTGTGCCAAAAGGAGTCTGCAGATTTCTTTTTCACAGTGATGATCTTATGTTCTTAGAGAAGTCTCAGTCTAAGCCACTTCTGGTTATTTTCTAAATACAACCAAACCATTTAACTGCTAACATAGAAATGGACATCTAGAGAAGTGGTGTTTGCAAGAACTATTACAACAGGTGACATCATAATTCTTTAGAATTCATTGCACAAGCCTAATTTTGTGTGTGAGTGGTATTTCATATATGAACATAAGACTAGGTGTTTATCTTGTTTCACTTGATGCCTTTGGAAAAACTATGAACAGGATATTACTATTGATGTGACAATGTACTTTCCCACATTATATATACCAATGCAATTAAAACAATTGCATTACAGTTTACAACAGAATTATTTGAATAGTTTTATGGTCAGAAGAGAATTTTAAGTTCCACTTGTACCATTTCTTGAACTTCAGTAGTTCAGCAAGGATTTCTAACTCTCAGCTGTTTATTATACACTGATTTTGCTCTGATTTTGACTTATTTCAGGGTTTTTCATTTTAAAAGAAGTAACTCTAGATTTCCCAAGCTTGTCCATTATATGTGTAGATATTCTCGATATTAAATATTGAAGCAGTCTGAAATTATTTTCCTTAACTTGAAATTACTGGAAGAAATGTCAAAAAGAATAGAAGCACTGGAAAATCGATTAAGATACTAATAAAATGACCTTAGCAGCAATATACCTTTGTTGGATATTTACACACAAGAAAATGTATCAAAGTGTAGGTAGGTACGTGCACAAAAAAGGAGAATTTATAACTTCAGTAATTTAGAGTACTGTAATAGTGTATTTTTGCATTGACTAAGATAAAATTACAAACTTTTTAAAAAACTGTATTTTTTCAATTGAGAAGCTATATATTGTAAAATATTAGTGCAGTTTCCCCCAAAATGACATCCTCTGATAATAAGCCCAATCGGGCTTTTGAGCGCATGGCAATAAGGCCAAGCACTTATTTCAGGGTTCAAACAAATATAACAGTGTCTTATTTTCAGGGAAACACGGTATAAAAGGCGATTTTTACTATTTAGAAATCTGGAAAGGCCAAATATTGTTCACTATTCATTGTAATAATGTACTGACTGGACGCACTCAAGTGTTATGTTACAATGGTTTCCTGTGCTTCTCATGCAGCGGTAATGCCAATATCTGCAGTAATAACAAGTAATTTCTCTGTGCTTAAACTCTTTCTATAGCCAACACTTCTCATAAGTGATTGATTCTAAGAATTTGAGAAGTAGTAACCAACATATTTAAGGCGCACTCCCTATGTTCATATTAACCACTAAGTATTTATATGTGGGATAGGGTTTGGGGATATAATGTATAAAATGTTATTTTATTGCTAGAATTATATACCAAAATTTTGAATATCTTCATTTTATAAAAAAAAAAAATTCTCAAACATATGTATCACACAAGTATTCGATGTGTTGGCCAACGGATACTTGCAGGAATGGTAGCCATCATATGGGAAAATTAATTCATTCCAGAATGAATTATAGTATTATTATTTCAGAACAAATTAAGAAGTGCCTTAGCTGAATTATGCCAAAAATAAATTATGTCCAATAACCTTTTCCCACCATCTATTGTTTTTCTTTCAGTTGTTCATAAGCTATTCTGTTTGGCTTTCTTGCTCTAAATAAAAGGCTGAATTTGCTTAACTACGGTATATCCTTATTTACTTTTAATGTGTGGTGGTTCCCCCAAGTAAGGAAAGGTAGTCACCCTTACTGATAATACAGAATTAGCATGAGATTCAAATAACTAATGAATTGTTCTTGAGGTCTAAGTTGCCTAGATGATGAAGTGTTTGTTTACTAAGTTTTACTTTTTCTACAATATTTAAACATGGTTTTTCTTTTTGCCCTCCCTTCAGCCTCAGTTTTTACTCTTTTTTTGTCTCCCTAGCACACTTATCATTTCCTTTTACCTATCTTTAGCCTAGCATTTTTTTCCTATTCTGCAGCAGTAGCAGCTTCTACAAAGAACTGCAAGTCTCTCAGCACACTCAGAATTTTTTCCATACTGAATGTGAAACACTGCATAGCCCTAATTAGAAGATGGTTGGTTGGTTCCCTCCTTCCTGCATTTATACAATTAAGCAACTCTAGATGGTTTCTAACCATGTTTAAAGACCTCTGCTGGTTTTCAAATGCTCAGTACAATTTGAATATGCTTACATATGTACAGGCACATTTATGAAGTAGGTGCTACAAGATTGATGATAAATCTGGATATTGTAGATGAGTTTGTTTTTTGTTTTTTTGGTCATCTCTCTCTTTCAGATAAATACAGAACTCAATCAGCGGAGCCAAATATGGCTATATTCTTTAATCCCATTGATCTTTAACTCCTAATTAAATTATTTTATTTAGACCTTTACTATTTGATTTCTCCATCAACTTTGCATACAACTTGTTGTTTGACTTATAAAAACTCATACCAAGAACAGATTTAAAGCCAGTTTTATTACACAAAATTTAAAGTTTATTAATTTTACTTCTCACTGGTTTGTTCTGGCATGCTTCTAATGATGTCAGAGTCACCTGTTGGGAAAAACATCATACTTCAGTATCAAAATTTCACAAACACCTTTGTCATGTACAGTATACTGTATTACAAAAATTTTCTTGATAACCGTATCTGAATATATTCCCAATGATAGATCATACTATAAAGTTCAATCAGTTAATGTAACTTGCAGGTAAAAATCAGAACTAGAGAGACCAACTAGCCCTGAGGACACAATGCAAAGTGGTAATATAGCGAATGTCTAGCCTGCACTGATTACTGTACAAACCAGAACAGCGAGAATATTCGCATTCAACTTTCATCAAGATAAATTAACTTCTCACATCCAATACATACAGTTTAAATCTTTAGCCTCTAATAAATTACCTTCTAATGCACTTTAAGAACCCATACAGCAAATGAACTTTATTAGTTACCAGATGCTTAATTCTGGTGCTAGGCAACTGACTCATATTTATGTCAATTGCCATCGCCCAGTGTCATGTGATCATCTTTTCCGACCTGACAAGCAAAGCCAGTGGGGAAGCTAAATTCACTTTAGAACCATGTTATTAACTTAACAGCTGCAGTCATTCACTTAACAACTGTGGCAAGAAAGATGGTAAATGAACTTTATTAGTTACCAGATGCTTAATTCTAAAATTATTTGCTCCACTGATCAATTATTTGCTCTACAGGTCAATTTCAATGACCTCCTGACAAACATATTTTCTTCTGATCAGGACAAAGGTTATTCTAGTGAGAATATAAATCTTAAAACCACATATGAAATAAGATTATACAATTTTTGCTTTACAAACACTATTGATTTTATATTAGCATATTGAAGTGCAGAGTTCTCAATTCAATAACATTTATAGAGAAACCTAGTGAATAGACCAAGATAAAGGTAAATCCAATTAAAATAACAACTTCATCCAGACAGATACTAAATACAACATACATACCTGGGTCAATTATAGCAAGTGTACATACTCTGTAGTACTTCCCACAAGCTGTTCCCAGTTCAATATTGTTGCCACTGTAGTGATGCACACCAGTTTTGGCCAACATAGCATAGTACTCAATTTCTGATTTTCTAAAGGTACAGAAATAAACAGGGTATTTATTTGGCTTTGTTCCAGATTACGTCACATTTTACTTCTATGAAATGTCCTGTTAAGACATTAACAATTTTTATTCATTTCATTTGTTTATTAAAACATACAGCCACCAGTTTATTAAAAGGAACTCTGTACAGTGAACAAAATAAACACACAATACAACTATTTAATTCAATCACAATTTATACATTAATTTTTATGGGACTAATGCATTATGAAGGGATACGGTGGCTCAATGGCTATGACGCTGAGCTTGTCGATCAAAAGGTCAGCAGTTCACCGGTTCAAATCCCTAGTGCCACGTAACGGGGTGAGCTCCCTTTACTTGTCCCAGCTTCTGCCAACCTAGCAGTTCGAAAGCACAGAAAAAATGCAAGTAGAAAAATAGGGACCACCTTTGGTGGGAAGGTAACAGCATTCCGTGCGCCTTTGGCATTTAGTCATGCCGGCCACATGACCACGAAGACATCTTTGAACAGCACTGGTTCTTCGGCTTTGAAACAGAGAGGAGCACCGCCCCTTAGAGTCGGGAACAACTAATACATATGTGCGAGGGGAACCTTTACCTAATGCATTATGAAGACTAGATTAAACCTATTTTAACCTGCAATATACAGGTAGGTTGGAGCTTAGATTTGAGTAAATTGAGGTTCTTCTGGTTATTAACCAAAGACCATTGGCGCTGGCAATATTTTTGCAAAATTTTACAAAATAAAATCTCATAAAGGCTTTATACATTATATATCCATAATATAATTGCTATATGCAAGCAGAACATACTTTATCAATTCAAATATATCAGTATCATAATTTCCCATGAGCATATAAACCTATAAAGGTATCACAGTTTTCTTCTATTATATATATTCAGAACTTTTATCTTCACATTACCCCATCACATAGTCTTCCTTTTAAAAAAAATCAAGTTAATAACCTATAAGATCACAAAATTACAATGTTGGAATGTCTCATCCAACCTCCCTTCATTCATGAAATCTAATTTCAGCAAAAAAATTGATATCCAGCGTCTGGCTGATTAATATATTTGAAAAGCTATATAAAAAAGTCAAAAATATCTACAAGTCAATGATAAAACATTTTCATTAATACTATAAGAAAGCAACTCTTTTATGTAATCCTTTAATAAAACTAATCAAAAAGTGCACTTACCTCAGAGCAGGACAGTTATTGGCTAGGATAACCAACTTGGCTTTGCCCTGCCGAATCATTTTCAGAGTTTGTTTATATCCAAGTACATATTTACCACTTTTCATAACCAGCTGAAGTCTAGAGTTTATGGACTCTAAAGACTTTTTCTGTTTAAAAAAAAAAAAAGTGAATGTATAGAATGTTTTTTGCATTTTATTAAATTTTTATGCCACCTATCTCACTGCAACACTGAGCATCTTACAATATAATAAAAAGTAAAAAAAGGTAATTCAAGGCAATTAAAATTAGGATAATTAAATGGGAAAGCTAAAACCCAAGATGATGGGCGATCTGGGGTTTGGGATCTTCTCTATCCCATCAGCATAGCAAACTTGGTTGGGGCCCCAGGACAGACAGCAGAGCCCAAGTTTTCAGGCTCTTCCCAAAGGCCAGGAGTGTTGGGGAAGACCTCATCTACAGCAGGAGAACATTCCAGAGGCCAGGGGTCATAGGAGAAAAGGCCCTTCTCCTGGACCCCGCCAGTTGAAATTCTTTGGCAGAGGGGATCCAAAGTGGGCCCCTTCTTCTGGAGCAAGCAGGGTGGGCTAGTCCCTTTGGGACGACATAGCTCTTCAGAGACCCTGGACCCATGCTATAAAGGGCTTTAAATACACTGCTCAAAAAAATAAAAGGAACACAAGTAGAAGACATCCGAGATCTGAATGAATGAAATAGCCTTATTAAATACTTTGTTCTTTACATACAATAGTTTATACACTGCTCAAACAACTAAAGGGAACACAAAACTACTGCATGTAACCAACAGAGTATTTAATAAGGCTATTTCATTCATTCAGATCTCGGATGTCTTCTACTTGTGTTCCCTTTATTTTTTTGAGCAATATATAATGATCATCTTGAATTAGACCCCCATCCAAAAAATCGGCAACCAGTGCAGTATGCATAACAGCAGTGTCACATGTGCCATTAAAGGGGCCTCCAGAACTGTCCAGTGCCACATTCTGTACCAGTTGTAGCATCTGAACACTCTTCAAGGGTAGCCCCATGAAGAGCATGTTGCAATAATCCAACCGAGATGATCAGAGCATGAGTGGCAGGCCACAGGGCTCATATTCCAGGAATGGATGCAACTGGCACACAACATGAAATTGTGCAAAGACTCTCTTAGCTCTTCTATTATACATAATGCATTAAAATACCTTGTCTATTTTCTCACTACATGCCTGGCTCTATATGATAACCTCACCATAAAATGTAACATTTTCTTCAACATTAATAGTTTGCAAGCTTTTTAACATGGTACAATGCAACCAAAATATCTTTTAAAAATCCCATTTAAAACACAACTAATATTTGTTGAATTTTCTCTTTTTCAAAAGCTCAGTCAAGAGTTATTAGAATACAATTGTATCTTCCAGCCTTTTTAAAAACTATGTCATTTGAGAGCAAAAGCTAATCATGCCTATAATTCTATTACAGTTCTTGTTCAATCCCAAGCCATAGAGTAACTTCAAGTGAGAATTCATAATATGAATTGCTTAACCAGTAGTGTTTAATAAATCCAAATACTGGTGTTTCTTTTCATCCTAATATGCTTTCAAAAACATTCTTTTAAAATGCCTATAAAATGAACGCATTTATTCAAAACTGTCAGTTTCAGATGGACTGATTTTTTTTTAAATAAAGCACACTTGCATAGAAAAACTCAAAGAAACAGTGCAAGATCCAAATATATGGAGACCTGGCCCTGTGGCAAAAAGCCCAGCCACATAAATTTTTCACAGCTGCAACGAAGCCTGAATCAAACTGCACACCAGAACAACTAGACACAAGAACAGTTTTTTCCTGAACGCCAT